ACAATTAATTTTAATTAAATTACACAACTTTTTGACATTTTTTGTATCATAACTCTGCCCCAAAGGGTCTGAGTGAGTTGCTTAAAGAAGAAAAATCAAGCACTTGAAAAAAGCTTTAATTCTCACGTTTGAAAAGCCTCAAACAGTTGCCCAACATCATAGTTGTTGACACTCAAAGCTTGAGAGGAGAGAAACAATTCAACTAATTTTATTACAATTTTTTTACTTGCAAGCTCATTCTGACGATGATCATATTAAAAAAGGGAATTGAAACTTGTCTTAAAAGCTCCATTTTTCTTTATTGAGATACTCTGTATGACCTTTTGGGACAAAATTACGATAACAAAATTTAAAAACAATTGTACTTCAATATTTTATTATTTGTATATTGTTTCATCCCAGGAGATCGTATAGAGTTAGAAAAAAAAATAAAAGAAAAGAAAATGAAAGCGTTTAACGTTAACTTTGATATTCTGTTCGATTTATTAAAAATTTGATGACTGACACAATCTGTGAGCTTTTGGAGTAAAAAATGTAAAAATTACTTAAATTTATAAAAATTATCATATTTTTTATATTTTTTTCCATTTTAAAACACTTGCTTACAGTTTTGGTCAATCATCAAATTTTATTACAATTCAAAAAGAATATCGAAGCTTATTTTAAAAGTTTTATTTCCCTTTTTTTTTTAATTTTCTGCTCGTTTTTTTGAGGCATAGTTTTAATAAAAAACGTGAAAATACTTGAAACACAATATTTTATTATTTTTTTACTATTTTACTGATAACTAAACCCCGAAGGATCGTGCAAAGTCTTTCAAAAAATTAAAATAAAGCTTTCAAGATAAGCTTTAATATTCTTTTTGAGTCATTAAAAAATTTGATCATTCGAGCAAGTAGTTCGAAGTAGACAAAAAATATTGAAATATGCAAATTTTATGAATTTAAGTAATTTTGCCATTTGTTATACTTCCATCGCTCACATCTTTAGCCGGTCATCAAATTTTTTAATAACTTCAAAAGAATATTAAAGCTTTATTTTCCTTTTTTAAAAACCTGTGCACAACCCTTCGGGGTATAGTTATGAGTAAAACAGTAAAAAAATAACAAAATATTGTGTTTCAAATATTTTCACGTTTTTTTATATTAAAACTATGCCTATGAAGGTCGTGCAAAAAAATAAAAATAAAAATATATAAAACTTTTAACATAAGCTTCGAAATTTTTTCAAATTGTTATAAAATTTGATGATCGACCAAAGCTATCAGCAAATAGTTTAAGCTAGAAAAAAATATCGAAAAAACGCAAATTTTTATAAATATAAATAATTCTGCCATTTGTTATACTGTCATCGCTCATATCTTTAGTTGGTCATCAAATTTTTTAACAACTCAAAAAGAATATTAAGGCTTATTTCTAAAGCTTTATTTTCCTTTTTTATTCATAACTCTTTACGATCTCCTGGGATGAAGCAATATACAAATCATAAAATGTTGAAGTACAATTGTTTTTAAATTTTGTTATCGTAATTTTGTCCCAAAAGGTCGTACAGAGTCTTTCAATAAAGAAAAATTAAGCTTTTAAGACAAGTTTCAATTCCCTTTTTTAATATGATCATCGTCAGAATGAGCTTGCAAGTAAAAAAATTGTAATAAAATTAGTTGAATTGTTTCTCTCCTCTCAAGCTTTGAGTGTCAACAACTATGATGTTGGGCAACTGTTTGAGGCTTTTCAAACGTGAGAATTAAAGCTTTTTTCAAGTGCTTGATTTTTCTTCTTTAAGCAACTCACTCAGACCCTTTGGGGCAGAGTTATGATACAAAAAATGTCAAAAAGTTGTGTAATTTAATTTACAATAATTGTAAAAGTATGTTTTTCGTTCTGAGAAATACGAGGAAAAAATAAAAAGTATTGACAGAGGTGTGCTCGCTAAAAAATGTAACCTTACTCATTGACACCGAAAATGGCAGATCATTTGTAGAATTCCTCATACACATAAACTTTTGCATCCCCGTAAAACAGTGAGTTGTGTTCGATGTTAATTTGCATTAACTAACGACAAATTTAGTTTGATCCAACAGTGCATCCGGCGAATCCGTTCAACGCAGTTGCAGATGCCGAGACACTTGGGGCGGCTTTTCAGTTACAGTACGCCGGCGAAGTGACCATCATCAACCTCCTGACGAAACGTGCCATTAAGCAGCGGCTCAACATTACAAAGGCTTACAATGAGTTGTACAACCGTGACCTCATGGCCGATTTACATGAAAAGTTCCATGGTGAACTCGACTATGCCATTGCGTCGCTCATGTCTCCAGTACTCGATTACTACGCCAAAGAAATCCACTACGCTGTGGCAGGTTGGGGCACCACTGAGGATATTCTCATCGAGATTCTCACTATTTTGAACAACAACGAGATGAAAGCATTGGCCACACGTTATGAGCAACGTAATTATTTAAAATTTTTTTGATATTCGGTACTTTCGGATCAGGTGCTTTGTACTCTTGTAAATTTTTTAATCGGAGCGAACACTCTTATAATTTGGCGACGATTTTTCTAAAGGAACCGAACGCGAACTTGGCGTCAAAGTAGTATGAATTTTTTTTTTGCTAACACTAAAACGGTAGATAAAAGTAATATCGCTTAGAAGCACGAAAAATAATTGATGAAAGGCCCTGATCGTTTTGATGTAGGTACGTAAATATATTACCATCCTAACTACGCCTTTATGCCAAATCCCAATAAAGTGAATCGCAATCATAATGTCCATCATTACGTTTTCTTCTTAATAGTATATAATATAATATTTAATGTACGTTGTATTTTTTTCAAGCTCAACAGTAAAGTTGGCTTTGTTTTCACGACATAATGAATATTTATTCTTTTTTGAAACAGTGTACGGCAGGAGCCTGAAATCGGATGTGGAGGATGACACTTCTGGGAACTTCCAGGTGCTGCTCTCTATGATGATCAACGGCGAGAGGAGTGAGGCTGCTTATAACGAACAGCAGTGTTTTGCCGACAACAAGGCTATCTTTGAGAAAAGTAATATGGTTATTTGTTTAAAATATGTTATCGTCGTGAGTTAAAAAACATAAAAAATTACAATTAGTCATTGAAATAGTCTGGGAGAGTAGTAATCATGAAACAAATTGGTAGAGAAATACAAACAGTGAATAATTAGTTCGATTATCCCCCAGAACTGAAAAAAAAAAAAAAAAAGTATATGATAGTCAATAAGAATTCTAGAAGAAGGTTCTTCTTCTTGGGTTGGAAACCAAGTATCTTCTTGACTTGTCCAAAGCGAATATATTTTACTCAGCTTACAATTTATATTCATATTAGGTACAAATAGCATGTACCTACTTTTGTTTGCTACTTCAATTTTATTACAAATATAATTTTGTTTTTGTCGATTAACTAACTAAATATAAATATTTTTGTCTTTTAAAAATAATATTTCTTTTTTATATTTTATTCTTACGATAATAATTATTTTTTTTTTTTTTTTTTTTCAAATTAGTTTGATTTTATTACATATTTTGAAGTAATAGTTTGTTAGCAAATCATTTAATAAATACACAAAATTAATTTAACAGTTTATATTTGTATACTTTTCAATTATAACTAAAAAAAAAGTTCTTGATACGTGTACCATATCTGGGGGTTACATCACTTTAATTCCATTGTAATACATAAGAATACTCAAAGAATACTAAAAAAGTACTTTATTGAATGTTAATAAGAACTTTTTAGACTTTTTTTTTAGCCGTGTATAAATTAATAAGGTAAATATACATAAATATAATAAAAACTTATTAAAAATACTGTAATAAGGCAAATATGCATTAATAAAATAAAAACCGTAAAATTTTCTAAAACTTATTAAAAATACTGTAACACCCCATTATTGGTGTTATTATTCGTATAATAACACGTCTCAAGGTTGTTGCACCGCTTAATAGTTCTATTTTTAGATTTGTGGATATTATTATGGTTTGTGATTATTGATATAAGTATTATGGACAGTAATTAAACTCAAATGATTTTGTTTTTACAATAATTTATACGATAAAAAAACGTTAATTGCCACTCATAGGTGTAACAAGAGATGTGTGTTAAACTTGTTATTTTTTTATATTAATCTATAGGAGAGGCATTAATGAAAACAGAAAAGTGGGTTATTGTAACGTACGAAAAAAAGTATAAAGATTTTGGGATAACAGTGGCCGAGGTCCTCGGAACCCGCAGCTACAATCATCTCAAAGTATGTTTTAACAAGTACCGGGCGTCTTACGGCGAACACTTTGAAGATCACGTAATCGGAGTGTTTAGTAAATTTTGGAGTAAAAATTTGAAGAAAACCTTGCTTGCAATCGGTAAGTTTACTCGTTGCTTCCCTTGACATTTATCCGTATCCTTATTGGAAATTTAATTTTTTTTTAGCCCACGTAGTCCACACAAAATTCGGTTACCTCGCTAAGCGTCTCTACGATAGTATGGACCCTAAAAATATGAATTACCGCACTCTGACTCGTATAATCGTTTCCCGTAGTGGTGTCGACCTTGGAGGAATCAAGAAAGAATTTGAGCTTATGTATTCAACGAAACTCGAAACTATGGTAGCTGTGAGTATTTTTGTTGTTACACATACCGTAACTTTACTTTTACATAGTCCCACCACCTTTTTAAACTACGATTAGATTCTTCAAACTGCTGGATATGAAAACGTTGTGTTGGCCTTTTGTTCAGAGATAAAAAATAGGTAGCAAAACACCAAGTCTTGTATGTGAGAAACACGGCTATTTTACTAGGTACCAGAGCACAAAGTGTTGTTTAAATTACAGGATTCAATTTTTATATTATTTTTGTTGTATCATATCCAACTGAGTTTCAATATCGATATGGTATCATTAAATTTAAACTTAAAAACGCTTTTTCAGCCATTTTAAAACAAGAACAACACTACAGATTTTGTCAATACAAAAAAAGTATATTTTCAGAAGGTCTACAACTTTCGTACTAAGCATTTTGTCCAAAAATAACTTTACAGAAAACGTACTTTACAAAAAAATTATCATTTTAATGAGTTCTACTACTTTTGTATCCAATATTTCGCTGTAGTATTACAATTTCTTTCCAAAACAGGCAAAAAACAGTTTTTGCATGTATTTTGCTTCAGAGAGCGTCTGCATTGTGATCTAGAGCAAAATGTACAATACAAAAAAGTTGTCGAAACAAAATACTAAAAATGCTGTAAAAATTTTTCCTTTCAATGAAACTTGTCCACTACGAACAAAATTTCAGCCCTTTTGGTTGATAATTACTTGGGTCAGTCGAAACACTTGATAACGTACATACATCCACACATACACCACGTGACCAACGCAGATAGCCCTCAAACTAGGTTCAAAATATGTTTCATATTAAAAATAGATGATTTATAAGAGATTACACTTTTTGCTCTGACAAAATTACAAGGTGCTCCCGTACATTGGTCGTGCATAAAAATACTAATGGAAAAATTTCTCAGGAATTTACTCAATACTCACATCACAACATCTTAAAAAAAGAATAAGTGAAAGGAACCCAAATTTTTGAAAAATATTTAAAGTGGTACATCTTCCATCTTCATAATCTCATGTACTACAGGAAGCCATTCTCTTTAGATTAGTATAGCCAATCTTGCTCATCTCATGACAATATTTATTACCTTGAAAAAAGGATATACTATAAGATAAGTAGTATTTTGAAAAATACTAAATTTAGTTTAACAATACTAAATTCAATGTTTAAAGTCACTCATGATCGAGATCAATAACCAATGACACAATCGCTTCAAACAAGCATTAGTTTGAAGCAGATAGGCTTAGAACATAAAAAAAAAAATCTTTATTTCACAAATAAAGGTTCTAAATTATTATTTATTATCGTCGATTGAGAACAATCAATAGGGCAACAATATAATCATGGTTGTCTTTTCTTTTCAGCACTGGACATCAGGAAACTATCAGAAATTCCTTCTCTCCCTCGTACAGAATTAGTTTACCTCATTAATGATACATTTTCAAAGGTGGTGTTATAATATTTTCAATAACTACGAATTTTTATTGTGTTTACTTTATTATTGATGTGCCAATTGATTGTGGCAATAATGTACGATTTTAAATAAACGATTTCATGATTTAAAATAAATTCCTACATCACAGTTTACTCCTACCCTTTAAATACACTGACAATTTTTTGTTCTATTTTATCTTGTATTTATAGCTCGGCTTGTAAGTTTATAAGCCATGATCGTTGTTCAATTACTCCGAGAAAGATACTTTTTTGTATCCATATTGCAACAGAAAAATTCAAAAGGTTTGGAGACAAAGAGAATTAAATTCTCATTATGTGCGTGTGACCTAACGCGTGTAAAATCGGAAAGGATGAGATAATCGGACAAAAAATATTGAAGCAACCACTGTAAATGTGACAAAGAAAATGAAAAAATCTGACTATTATAAATCAGTGCCATCTGCACGCAATATTGCGAAAAAGACTGTATGCTGAGCAAAAGATTTTCAATATATCTCTGTAGGAGAGAAAACTCGCGTGGGTTGTACGAATGTGTGTGTTATTGTATATGCCTCGGGTGCAAAAAAAGGGCATCGAAACCGGGAGGTAAAGAATATTCGGGTGAAAGACACCGAAAGTATCTTATGCCCACGTATGGACTTACAAGTAAGGTGTATTAAAAAAATCTGCGACGTTCAATCTCCGACGTGGGTATAGGGAAGAAAGGGCTCGAAGTAAGATTGGTAAATTTAATCAGTCTGAGGAAAAAAAGGAAGCCTTTGTCCCTTTCGCTTCTTTTTCCATTTTTTTTTCTCGAACGTCCATACGAAAAAACCGCCTCAAAACTAAAAAAAAAAAAATGACCGAAACTCATGTACGTGTGTACAATAGTTCGCTCGTACACGAGTACTCGCAATCCTCAGGGCGAAGAAGAAGCTGCCGTTTGATTCTCCCGGAAAAGGCTCACCCCACACACCCCCAGTTGGAGGACACACGCGAATCGTTTTTTGAATATTGCTGACGGATGGGAACTCGAAGGAGGGGTCGAGTGCACTTACCTCCTCTCACCCTCTTGGCCTTGGCGGCGGCAATTTTTTCTCTCCTCCCCTCGACATTATCCGTAAACTTCAATTAAAGTGCCCGCGAAAAAAGAAAAGCGTCCCTTTTTATTTTTTAATTATACTATTGTTCTTTTTTTTTTTTTTTTTTTTTTTTTGGGAGTTGCAAAGTGGCTGGCGATGTGGTGGTCGTCTTTTGTAAGTGATGTGCATCCATCGGGCGATTTATTGATTTTCGATGAATGGACGGCCAGCCGAGATTAAGAGCGAACGTGACTCCGTCAAGGGAAATACGATTATTTGGAATTTTCAGGGAAAGGAGTGTAGGTGTGTCAACTTAGGGGCAGAAGAAGAAGCGAGTCCCTCGCTTTGTGTGAAACTGCACAGGGTCTTGAGCATCGTTACACCGCTGAACTCGTTTCTCGAGAGCCGCTCGACACGGCGTTTTTACGAAATCCAGTTATGCTCGGTATAAGTAGAGGACGTGTGTCAAGATTGACTTTCGAGCCGATTTTTTCGAGATCTCCGTTTCTTGCGCCCCTCGTCTGTTTGTACATATATACATTAGGCTATGATCTGCGGCAACGAGATCGCGGTGTACAGGATTAGGAGGGAAAACAAGATTTTGCGTGGAGAGAGAGAGAAAGAGGACATTAGTTTTCAATGCAGTTCCATGAAGTGTCGGTGGGTGCGCGGGTGTCGAATCGATCGATCGGAGAGAGTAACTTTGTTTTTCGAGAGTTTTTCGTTGAATATTTAATTTTCAACCACAAAGACTCGGGGCAAATCGGACGAGGATCGTTTTTTGTCACTTGGCGAAGACTTGCATATTACGCGATTTTCTTTCCTTTTTTTTCACGATGAAATAAATAAAACCAATGACCAACGCGTTGGAATCGATCTCGAATTGAAACTTGTGTGGCAAATCACAATGTAGAGATATCGACGGGCTGTCCAAGTCGGAGTCAGAGGTGGCGGTGCTTTATCAGAATTCATGACAAGGTTGGTTAAATCAGCTCGGGTGGTTTTACAAAGTTCCAAGCTTGAAAGTGTGTAGTTCTCAAAATTGATAACAAAAACACAATGTCGAAGTTTAGGCCACCCCATTATAACTAAGACTTGCATAGACAGCGCCCCCCCCCCTTGCCTTTATTACAAAAGCCGCGAGATCTTCATTGAAAAGTTCGGCTTTCGCGGCTGAATCGGTGCCTCCTGCAGCCCCACACGTGCAGTATTCGACTCTCGCTCATTACTTGAGATGCCATAAAGTTTTGCAAAGTGGCAGCAGCTACGCGTCGGAAGGGGTGTGTGGAGGCAGCCGCGTGGGTTTTCGGGCGATCGTAAAGCCTACCGATCCCGCCCTTTTGACCCAAGTACCTACTTACTCGGGATGCGAATTTTGCTTCAGGTATATACAAACAATCGAGAAGGAGGAGGAGGAGGAGAGAACTTTGTTATTGTTTTTTTTTTTTTTTTTTTAGTAGATTGACAGAGCGTGTGATATGCATACCCGTCTTTTATTTATGCGCGATCCAAGTTTTTTTACAGCGTTGGTTTTTTTTTTCCACGATTAGATTGCGCAAGGCAATGTTCTATTAAGAAAAAAAAAACTAATCAGTTTTAACGCGTAACTTTGTAAGAGTTTAGATTCACGTGCCTTGCATACTTTTCCTTCGATACAAGGATTCTTCCTTCATCCCGGAGAGTAAACAAATAAATATTATATATCGACTGCAAAAGATTTGTTAAAATCAGTCTAAAGAATTTGGAATTTTGTACGAAAGCTTAATTTTTTGGATGGTATTTACACGCAGGTATCGGTACGAAACACCTGCGACCTGTTCGATAATCCGCTTCGTTTAAACGATCCAGAGGTGCACTTTAAATCCTAGACACACACCAATATATATAACTTTCACTGAACCAATCGAAACGACGAGCTGTAGGATGAAAAAAAAAAAAAAAAAACCCCACGGGAGATGAGATCGAGACAAAAGGGGGTACATAGAGAGAGAGGGACGCGAGAGAGGCGGGTTGCGCGCACGTCTCGGAGTCGGAGTAGGAGAGCAGGTACACCTATATACAACACCCGTGCAGGGTTCGGTGAATCGCCGCGCGCTTGGACCCCGAGGCAGCGGGGGTTCCGAGGGATGCATGTGGGAGGGATGCCGATCTACGCGACGTATGGATCTCGCGCGGCGCGCTCTCGCGTGCCAGTCATCGGCTGTCGCGCTACCATCCACCGAGGACGCGCGTGCTCCTCCGTTTACCTCACTGCACCTTTTATCTCTCTCTCCCTTGTCCCCATTGAATTTTCGGGGACGCGCGCTGTACCGGTTACCGATCTCTTTACCTCTCGCCTCGAAGCGCGTGCTGTTCGCGGGCAAATTTTTGCTTTGATCCACGCGCGGGAGAGAAAAATTATCCTGGCGCGATAAAAATTATACAACTCGCGACGCTACGGTGACTCCGTGAGTTTTTTTTTTTGTTTTTTTTTTTGTTTTTTTTCTTGAACTTTTTCCAAGTCGCCGACGAGTTTGGTACAATGACTGGGTTTTGCTTCGCAAGGGGATACCGGTGAGATCGCAACGGTAAACTCGTCGGTGTTTACTCTGCTGTATAGGCCAAATTGATGCAGCCGCGCTGAATCATGGAGACCTTAGTAAGTCAAACTTTGAGAACTTTTGGTTGTATATGTGATCTCCCAAGGTATCTATTGCTATTTGGTAGTTTAGAAAACTAATTTGAAGAAAAGGCCATTGTGAAATTCAATTTTTGAGGAAAGGAGATAGTACGTATTTCTTTTTTTTTTTTTTTAATAAATCGCCAAGTGGTACCACATTAGCCGAACAAACGGGGGAAATTCGTATCGTTTCGCGGTGGCTTTAATATGCAATCAATTTTCTTTTCCCGTGCGTGTCCTCCATTGTGTTCGTCCAAGACTCGCTGACGTAGACACAATCCGCAAATAATTGTGAGCTTACTGAGTGTGAAAAAAAAAAACACTTTTGTTTTCAAATACATTAAATTAATTGTTTTTCTTTAAAGCCGAGGTGGGATGAAAAAAAGAAAGCCGCAGCGTTGATTTTCTCGAGCCTCGCGAGCCAAACGTTTTCGCTTGACAAACTTTCAATTACCAACTTCCGGCGACGAGCTTGGTATACAGGATTATGGAAAAAAAAAAGTACGCGTATACAGCGAACAAAAGGCAAGGGACGAGCTTTCGGCGCAAAGTATGTATCCACGCGAAATAAAAATCCCAGCTCTCATTTCCAAACTCCGATACGCGGTATAATCTACATGCGGCGCATCTGCCGACACAAACGCGCTTATCTCGGTTTGGCGAAGGGAAAATTGCTTCTGAAATCGACGATTGATTTCATCTCGAGTCTCAGATTTGTTATCGCGGGTGGGCGTGTGCGTGGCCTCTTAAAACTTTCATTGCGAAAGAGGGAGAGAGACGAGTAGACCATTAATTTTCTACAGGTATATATGCTTTTTGGCACAGCTTTTTTCTTTTATTGACGCGTTAAAAAAAAAATAATAATAAATAAAAACAATCGTAGATGTTTGTATCGATTACGTCACGCGAGTGAAATAATTTTTTTCCCTATCAAGAACGAGGTTTGAGGAAGAAAACAAACAAGTAGGCAGTGGCGGAAAAACGGCGACGTCGGGCTCTGTATAAGCTCCTTATCCCGGACGGGCGTGTTCCGCGGAGTGTAAAGCTAAATTTTAAGATCCGATTCTCCGAGCCCCTCCGTTTCACTGTACTTTTTCCGAACTTTGTCATTCGCGAAATTGCCGGAAAGTCGATTATACGTTCATCCGAATCCGAATTGATTTGCCTGTGCAATCCTGTGCACCTATACACGTATAGCCTCTTGCGGATACGTTTCGGTGATATTTAACACTCCATTAGCACTAATACATTTCTTTTTTTAATTCATTTAGATTATACAACAGTAGCAAGCTTTATTGTAACTGTAGTCCTAAAAAGGTAAATTTGATTACCTGTTCTCAGGCTAATATTAAATCAATATCTGAGATCTATAACTTTTAGATTCAAATCCTCACAAACTAAGCTATATGTGTATCTTAAAATATAAAACTCATTTGTCTCACTTATTATTACTACTTATACGTATATTATTGCTTTGATTATATGTTCTGTTATATAATTTATTTGTATTCCAAACACAATTATATAGATTCAATTCTCGATATGTCTAGTAGTTTCATATATATCGGTAATTCGTTAATGAGCTTTGTCGCTGCAATGTAACTATTTTTATTACTGACCATTTAAAAAAATTTAAGGTAATTGTATGGTTTGATTGTGAAAAATTATTATTTGTTTATTTTTTTGTAATTTATCTACCTTTTTGTCGCGCCCGCGTCCGATGGGTTTGTATAGAATCGCCGCAGATGGACCGACATATTATATCGGATACGTATATATATATATATATATATGTAACGGCAATAATGGAATAATGCGGGTCCTCGTATCCCGCGACGGACATCCGCCGAGAGGTACGATATTGTATTGTGTACATTGTAAAAATCGAGAAATGATGAAAAAAAAAAAAAAAAATGGACCTAAATGGCACTTTTTCCTCAATTTTATTTGCTTTCCACTCGTGGATGGGTTGAACTTTTAAAAAATCTTTCTGAGAAATGGGAGAAAAGAGCCCCATGGTTTTGATTGCAATATACTTTACTCCACCCCCTCTCTTTTCATGTTTGCTCGGTGCCGTTGATGAATTTTTTCATCGCCGAAAACACACTACGATACGAATGTCTCTAACCGACTCCGATGGGTAAACAAGAAACAGCGATGAGGTCGAGTGTCGAGCAAACGTACGAATTGATTTTCTGATTTTATGCGCCATTAAATAATAAGAAAAGCTCCCCCCTCCTCCCGCAACAAACAAGGGTGATAAGGGGGTGGGGGCACTTAAAAAAGCAAACATCATCAATTCGGGATAACGAGGAGCCGGGAATTCAATTAAATATTCACGCCCCGCGGCACTCCCCTCCAAGGGAGTAACCGTACACAGCCAAGCAAATGACCGCAAAAACAATGGCCCGTCCACCTGACGGTCCCCCGGACCCTTTCCTTCCCTCGTATAGCCCATAGTTTTCTCCGCCACCGCGATAAAATCCAATTAAAGTGCGAAACTCCCGGTCTTACGTGGGTGGGCGAAAAACGCAAGTTCATCCCGTCGATCGGACGCTGTTTGTTTTGAACCAAATTAAAAAGCCGCTCTCGTCAACCGAGCGCACGTGTAATTAGTTCGGTTTGCCGACCGGCTCGTGTATATTGTAAACCTCTGCTGCGATACCCCACGCGCGTCCGGTTCGTAGGTTTTTGAGGAATATTTATTTTATTTTTTTTTTTTTCCCACCTCCCTCACGCGAAACTGGTATCAAGACGGTGGTATAAAAAAAGGACCAATTAGCGGGCGCGACCCATTTCTAAACAAACATGCAGCCACGCGGAACCGCTTCCTGGCTGCTTCTTCCACACTCCTTTTTTCTTCGCGCTCTCTACATGTTTTTCGAGGTATGAAGTGAAAATAATAAACAAAAAAGAAAAATTCACGACACGGCCCTCTTTGTGTCTCGTGTATACGATATTGCGACTCGCATGGGACGCAACGTTGCGCGTATTAAAATAATTGCGCAGTCACGCTTTTTTTTTTTTTTTGCCCTTTTGCGGCCTCTCACTCCGTGTACTTGGGCAGTTTTTTTTTTAATACGTGGTTAGTACATCTCTACCGATTTTCACGAAACGAACGATAAATGAAAATACACCTGTCGCTCCACTTTTGGTGTAACTCGATGGTGTACTGCTTTGAAATTTTTCGATCAGTTTGTTTCTCTATTGGGAGGACACTTTTGTGTTGGGCAGTCTTTAGAGACTACAAAAAGTAAAAGGGGTAAAAAACTCCCGGGAGGAAAGTATTTCCCATCTGCTTGATTTCCGAGGCTCATATCCGAATCCAATTGCCCGAATTGAGGACCGCGCGTGTGCCAGTTAGGGTTCACCTCGAACTAGCCAGGACTACACACCACCCACATGTGTGCAGGTGTACGCGTTCTCCTCCGAAGCAAACTCGCTTTCGAACAAAGTTTCTCTTTTTTTCTTTCTACTTCTCATTTTGTGAAAACACCCCCACTGGCAGCCGTCGCCCCTTTGATCTCTCGGGGGTTTTTTTTCCGCGTGCACCACCACTGGTCAAAGACTCGCCACGCGCGCGTAATATGCAAATGTATTTCTCCTGAAAAAGTTGCTGCTCAGCGAAAGAGATGACGTGCCCGCATCGAAGCTACGTGTACACATTCAATTACAGTTTTGGCGTGACACGAGAAATCGCGGCTCTACTCAAACAACATACACCAACAAGCGTGTGTGCAGCACCAAAGTTGTCGAGGGTGTCTCCAATTTTTCTGCCGATCGCAGCAATCTGCCAACGAGGGGGGAAAAAAAACAGCGCAAAGACAGGCGTCGCGAGAGCTCTTGACATGGTTTTCCCGGGCGTCGATCTGCCAGCGACTGTCAGCTTCGAAAAGAGGAGACGATCGCTTCTTCGTTTCGGAAAACACAACCCTCTCTTGGGCATGTTCACCCCCCAAGTGGCCGCTCTTTGAACGACCCCTTTTGGCCCGCTGCTCTTCCACTCGTCTGGAATAAATTTGATTTACCCTTTTCGTCCCTTCCTTTTTTTTTTTTTTTCACTTTCGTCCACCAAAGCTTTACTCGGCTTGTGTTGCTTGAAACTCGAAAGTCGCTGAATCCGCGTGGGGGAAACTGTCCCGAAATCACGACAAGCTTAAACGGAAGAGAGAGAAGGAAAATAGAGTTTGACTAGCACTTTTGTACACGAGAAAGGGGATACAAGAAAAAAAAAAAAACCGTCAGGGCCAATGAAACGATAAATATAAGGGCATGATTTTACTTGGGATGCAATAGATTAAAAAAAAAAATAAATAAATGAAATCTGATCTTATTCATTGGAGCGTGCAGTTGAAGGGGAAAAAAAAGGTCCCCATACCGCCAACACGAATCAATTCACAATTCCTGCGTTAAAGAGTCGGACGGAGGAATCCCCCGGCCGCAAACAAAAGCTCTTCCTCGGGGTTATACGACAAAGAGACAAAGCTCGGCAAAGTATCTCTGCAGTGTTCACCCCCCGAAAAAAGTTCGGGCCCGCGTGTACAAAGCGTGTGCGTGGGGGGAAGGGTGAGTACTTACAAACCAAAGTGGAACCACATAAGCGGCTTTGCACTGCTCATGCCGGTACTTGCACGGGCTTTTTTTTTTATGGATGTTTACTCGAGAGCTCCGTGGTATTCCGGTTTTGTCGTCGTTTCTTCCTTCGCCGCGGGGACGGTGCACAGCTTTACCGTAGGCCTCGGCTCGTTGGAGAGGTTGTTGTTGCACCTGGAGGGTGTCGAAGGCAAAAAAAAAAAAAGGATGATAAAATTTTTTTTTTTTTTTTTTCAACATAGACGGTTATTACGCGGGTTTACGAGGGTGTAGGGGATTCGTTGACGACAGAAATAACGAGTCATCCAGTCGTGAAACTGCAAAGAAAAAGAAACAAAAAAATAAGGCCAATATTTCCATTTGTTGAATAATCATCGTGTTCAAAGTTTCGAGAATTGTTTTGAGCTCGAATGAATTATCCTCGACCCTTTTCTCGGTAGGGTACTTGGTATAGATCTCGTTAAAACATGACAAATTGACGTTTGATCGGTTGAATAAAAATATAGGATATTTCATTATTTTGTAGAGCTTTTACTCGACATATTCCACCTCCTCGTTGCAGCATCCCTCATTCCAATATCCATCCACGATCTCTCGATCATCCATGTAAGCCACCACGTCACCCGCCATCGACGACTTCATTTCCTTATTATTGTAAAACAGCTGTCGAAGCCGGCAAACTCCATCACTTGTCGGAAATTAATCAGCCCTGCGTACACCGTTATAGATATCACACATAGTTTGGTACGGCGGTATAAGTAGTAACAGTCAATGTAGGGCAGACGGGCTGACGTTGTACCTGAAGATGAAACCCTATATAATAATGATGTGCTTAGGCAGTATGGGTATGAAAGAAAAAAAAATCTTTGTTCTGTGAACACTGTGGGATCTGTAAATTATGTAGCCGATTTTTCGAAAATCAGCATAGACACGATCGCAACTCGATCGAGAAGCCGATTGGTTTTGCATCTGCAGTACCTATGCAATAATTGTAATAATCCAGTAAAAGCTGTACGTTGTAGAGTCTTGGGATTTTTCAGGTACTTATAGACCATCCACCTATACGGAGGAAAATCCATTTTTTCCATCACATCTCGTTATTGCGCGAGTCCAGTTAGATTTCGAGATCACCCGGTACCACTATCTTCCGCAAGCTATTCTCGACTGGCCGCAACAGTGATATGGACGTTAAAGCGTGCGGGACGCGCGCAGCCTCTCGCATCAATTGTGCTCGACGTACGGCAATACGGCACCCTTTTCATCACACCCCCAACTTTACTTTATCTGCTCCCTCTGCCGTATATACACGTGCGCTCTTTCTCGCACCGACACGCGCGCAGTTGGTTGCAGTATTTATATACTTGTAGGTTCGCCAGGAGGCAACGAGAGGCAAAAGGATGCGTTCGTATATAGCTTGGAAGGGTAAATCCAAATCCAAGGGAAATCGGAGTAGGCTACGGTAAACCGGTTGAGGCGCGGCTGTTGTTTGTTTCCCGTCGATGCTCTGATTTCGTCCCTAAAATACACGACATTTGCTCACAATATATATATATATAGCACCGCGCGTAAGCGCCAACAGAAATCGATGGGTATATACGAAGGGAGTCCTTTGACGCGGTCGCGTGTTTGCTCGAGATTTTATTTCTCGTTTTTCCACCGATGGGTGCGCTTGTACGCCCGTTTGCGCGAGCTGTACAGTATTGGATCACGGGTATACACACTGGTACATGCACTATATGTATACATGCTTACCGATTTTGCGCCGTATATGCGTATACAATCATCCAATTTTTGATTCAGGACTGGATTTTGTTTCTTTTTTTTTTTTCATTTGGCATGATATGTGTGTTGGTGTGAGAACACACTGGTTTCTCCGATTGTTCGTTAAGGGAAGGATTTTTTTTTTTTTTCATCCTTGTAGGCCTCCGATTGGCTTCGAGTGATTAAAAAAAAAAAAGAGTCGAGTTATCGGTCTGGTGGCTGCCGCAGTGGTGATTATTTGAGGAGAATTGACCCTCCCTCCTCGCCCCCTTTTTGCTCACTTGTTTGCTCATCGGCGCTCGCGAGGGATCTCTTCGAGTCTTTTATCTTGCCCCTCTCGGGTTTGGCTGTTACTTCTGCCCCTTCTGCTGCCGTTTCTGCGGATCGTTGTAAAGTTCGGTCTCTTAATTGCGGCACTATATACATACAAGTATAGTACAGTTTATACCTATACCTCACTCGTGTCTTGGTCACTATATTATATTGCTGTTGGTATGCCGATTTCGGAAGAAAATGAGCACTAGTAAGTATTTGGAGCGCAAACTTTACGAATTCGACTTTTGGTTTTAAGTTTTCATCACTTGTGCAATATCATTAATTATAGGGTGCCAACTTACATTCAGTTAGTATATCGACCAATTTTCATATTATCATTGTGTATGATTGCGTGAAACTTTTGCGATTCTCTGAAGAGATTTTTTTTTTTTTTCAAGTGAAATGTATGTGTGTGTAAAAATGTGAACAACAACTAAGGGTAATGACGGTAACTCAATCCAACTACCCTTTCAACTCTGCAGACCCGTGCATTTTTTTCCCAAATAAAATACTGTTTAACTTATTCCGTGACAAAAAAAAAAAAAAAATTTCCTTAGCTTACACCACTTTTCTAAAAAAAAAAAAAAAAAAAGGCAAAATGTGTCAACGTGTCTACAGTTTGTTTGTTTTTTTTTTACATACATACACATCATCCGCAGTTCCGTGAGTGCACCTCAAATATCTTTCCACTTTCAAAAACTATATGCATACATACCCATGTACACCTGTACTTATTTGGTTGGATGAAGGTGTAAAAAGTGCAAAAAATAAATAAACAAAGGATCCCCTTTCTTGTAATAGGTAAAGGCCGTTACGCGGATGCCGCAGTTGATCCAGTAATCCGATAAAAAAGCGAGAGAGAGAGAGCAAACGGGAAACGAAGAGAACACACGTCCACGGGCGCGGATGTCGGTGCGAATGGAGCATCGCAAGAGTTGGTAAAGATCGAGCCTCCGCGGGAGGACAGGGGGCGAGCCAGGAACCCGGGATCATGAGTCTACGCGTCGCCCTGGCTCTCACGTTCTACGCCTGGCTTCTGTAAGTATGTATATATATATACGCACAAATCATCCGTCACGCGCGCGCGTATAGGGTAATCCAACTCGCTCGGATGCCCGCACACGCGCCCTATAAATAATGCATATGGGAGGGACAGAGAAAAAAAAAAAAAAAAAAGGGGGGTTGGAGTGAATGTCACCCGATGCACCACGTGCGCGTGCAAGCGATTCAGCCCTTACATGGCGAGGGGGGTTTTTTTTCCCAGTTTCCTCTCGTTGCCGATGTGGGATCGGCCCACGCGAACAATAATGGGGCGTCCCACGCGTGTGTTTATCTTGCAGCAACAAAATACACCAGCGATCGAAGCTTTGGTTTTTTTTCATTCCCGTGTATTATAATAGCCTTGCCTCGAAAATGTAATATATATATATGTAATTGGTGTTCTATTCTCACCGGAAAGGAAAAATGAAGACTCGCGATATTATTGAAATTGGCGAGCATTTGTTCGAGAGATGGACAATAATGGTGTGGTCCGCGTGTCCGGTGTCTTTTTGTTAAGCGGGTAAAAATATATTACAAGCTCGCCGGACGAAACTCGCCTCTTACTACTTGCCGGGCGCGTCTCTTTTGTACGCCCTCTGGGCCGGGATATTTTTGACTTGTATTTGAAAGGGAGAAGAAGAAGAAGAAAAACTAAAAAAAAAGAAACAAGCATATATTAATCATACGGTCCGCAAAGATCAGTGGCAGCGGAGCCGACGAGGAGGTCGTCGGGGAGGCGGGAGCGCCCGCAGTACAACAACCACGGCAACATAAGCGAGCTGCTGGACAACCTGCTCCGGGGCTACGACAACAGCGTCAGGCCGAACTTTGGCGGACCGCCCGCCATCGTCGAGGTCGACATCATGGTGCGCAGCATGGGCCCCATATCCGAGATCGATATGGTAATTGTGCTCTCCTTTTTTCCCTTTTTTTTTTCTCCTTGTTTATCTCATTGGCACTCATGCGATGCATGATACAACTTCAGGCATATAACATATGTATATACGCGCGAGTTTGATCGAAATCTCGGATCTCCCGCTGTATAATTGCGCGTCACGTGATTGCCGTATGTATACACGAGAAAGGTGGGTACTTATAAGGCAGTCGAAGCAACTCTCGGCGTTTCGGGAGGTGATTCGTTAACTAGAGAGAGAGAGAGAGCACAACTACTCCGCCTCGTCTTGCACGAACACTTAAGTACTTCTGTTTACATTACTGGGTGTGGGTACTGTGTACAGCTACTACGAGTTTCATGTGTGTTACTGATTACTGCGCACTAAATTCAAAGGCTTGAGCTCGATTATGCTGATGGCGCAAGGGTGTCGGTGTGCCATTTCTCGGCCAGTTCTACTCGGTAAGCTCGTGATGTATCCAAACGAATTGGTCGCACTAGCATCCCCTTGCAACGTGATACAAGATCACGGTCAGGAAATATCATGATGACATGTGTGCTTGCCTCTCTCTGTCCCTTGCAGACGTACTCGATGGACTGTTACTTTCGTCAATCGTGGGTGGACCGTCGACTGGCCTTCCAAAGTGGCAAGGAAACCCTCGCCCTGTCTATCTCCATGCTGGCGAAGATCTGGAAACCGGACACGTACTTTTACAACGGCAAGCAGAGCTACCTCCACACCATCACCAGTCCGAACAAGTTCGTCAGGCTTTACCAGGACGGCAGGGTGCTCTACAGCTCGAGGTGCCGTTTTTTTTTTTTTTTTTTTACTCCTACTTTGCTTTTTGGCTACATTTTGCGAAGTGAATCGCTCGATCCTTTTTTCAATCGTATGTTTCAAGCCTTCGTGCATGTACGTTACGTGTCGTATAACGAAAAGCCGGTCCCACCGGGAGTGAGAGCTTTACGTACGTAATACAGCAATCTCGGGATGGAATTTACGGCTCATCCCTCTTATACGTGTGTATACACCAACCGGCAGATTTGAAAGGGGTGTGCCGCAGCTTCATTAGTCACGACAAAACGTGACGTCCCGTGGAATTTCCGGGGTAAACTTACACACGTATGGATACTACACTCTTCCTCCTACTTTTGGCCATTCTGTTCCGTAAAAGCTCTGCGATTCGTTTTTCCCCGACTCTCGGCTCTTGACGCGTTGTGTAACTCTTGCGAGGAAAAAAAAAAAAAGGGGGAAAATGCGCCCTGGACATTGATACATTTCCAACTCAAGTATGCGTGGGGTCCGTGTAATCTCCACGTGAGAAATTCCGCGGAGAAAAAGCTGTTTGCCGATGTCCAACAATATGGTTTGGATTTTTCTACGATAAATTGTACTTTTGCACAGCCAATAACTTTTTTTTTCTCCTCCTCACCACACCTACGCTTAATGTAAAAAAAAATCTTTTTTTTGATAATGAACCAATGTAGGGCCATTTTTTTCACACCAGTGCCCCAAAGGATTGTGAAATAATTTAGAAAATCTCTGGACCTCGAAAATGCCATTTTTCCGCAGACTCGTTCCAAGTGTAATGTACTACTGGCAGTCTGTAGGTCAAGTGGTTCTCGATTGGTGATCGAGCGATTTTCGAGCTACACCTACCGATACATCTATAACACAACCGTCGAGATGTTATGTAAAATTGTAGGGGAAAATAATTTTTTACGTATTTCAGACTGACCATCAAGGCCGCCTGTCCCATGAACCTCGAGGACTTTCCCATGGATACGCAGCGGTGTCCACTGAAATTCGGAAGCTGTCGGTGATATTTACATTATTTTTTCTTTTCGTTTTTTTGGTTTTTTTTTTTTTTTTTTTTTTTTTTTTTTTTTTTTNTTAAAAAATTTTTTTTTGTTTTTTCGTTTTTTTTTTTTTTTTTTTTTTTTTTATTGTACACCTCTACACTGTGATACACACACGCCTCGGAGGAGATGGTGCGAAGTAAAAATGGTATAAAAATCACACGACATCACCGAACCACGTAATAAGTCACGCGATTTGTCGCGTAAACTATTCACGTGGCATTATAGATTTTTAACCGGGTGAGTTCGTTGAGACTTTGAGCAGTGATTTATTAACGCAAAGCTGCGACGACTTGCTGTGGCTTATTTTGAAGGACCAGAGAGAAACTCGACATTCGTGGTTTTTGATTATTGACGGTAAAATTATTGAAAGAACGCTCTGGTGTGCAAGACTCTCGAGACTAATTTTCCTTGACGCGCGTCCCTTGACTCAATTACTATTAAAAATCAATTTGGATGAAAAGTGCCGTATCATTGTAACCGCGCGTCAAGGAAAATTCGATAACGTGTATGTTCGAGCACACGCGTTCGTATCGACCCGTTTATTTACTTTGAGAACGAAAACAGAAATGTCAATCAACGTGTTAAAGGACAAACCACCAAATTCCCATCTCTCTCTTTTGCGGGGCACACAATACACTTGAACGCGTAGGATGAAAAATATTTTTTAAAAAGGTGTGTTTTCTCTTTAGAAAAAAAAAAAAAAAAAAAATGATTTCGCCATTTAGATGGGTACACAACGCGGGACGTGATCTACAAGTGGAACGAACAGCGCCAGGTGGCCATAGCCCACGACATGACGCTCGCTGCCTTTGACCTGGTGCACGCGGCGAACGCCACGGGCTCGATCTTTTTACAAAGTAAGCCGATTATCGTCGTTAGACCTCCCTCGCGTACGTAGTGTATAGCGGCTTTCATGGCATACATACCGTTGCACACGATACGCGCTGACGTTACCACAATTGCCCCGGTATCATCATCATCATCATCATCATCGCGATACCGCACGTGCAGTACTATGTACTTGACAGTTTCGCGATCGTCCCTTATCATCTTTTATTACGAATGTATATTATTACCTCGTGTATACAGTCTCCTGTCGGTGTACCCCTGATTCGTCCCTATTGTCTCGAGTTTTTTTTTTCTTCTCCCCCCCCCGTCTCATTAGGATTTATTGTGCGAGAGTGTGATATATACATACATCACTTGTTTGGAAGTAAAAATTTTTGACCTCTCCATTGTGCGGAAATCAAAGAGTTTGCGGACGAAAGTTTTGAATGGATATATAAGTTTAAGGTACGCCGGAGACGTTTTAATCAAGTTTCTCATCCGCGGCTACTGTCTTACATTAGTATACTCTATATTATACTACTACTCGCTAAAAACGAAAGTGGAAACACTATATATTATAGGCGTGTTATAATTATTAAAAAAAAAAAAAAAAAATTTGCTTGTACATAAATTTTGATATTAACTTTCGATCGATATTCAAAAATTCGTCCATACCCAGCACCAATAATCCAATCAGCTCGTATATGCTTGTATATGGTAATGTCGTTGCATATGTGCCACAATCACCGCTCCGGTTAATCTCCCTCTGCGTTCAATGAGATGAGCAAACGTCGAGTAGCAATAACTTGCATGTGTGTATATATATATTGTATAAATAAACCAGGCACGGCGTGGTAATAATGTTATTGTTACCCTTGATGGGAGCGCTTCTCTCGCGGGGTACGATAACTCGTTTAATTTTTCTCCGTTCGCAAAAGTATGCATGTATACATGTCCCTCTCAACCCCCCCCCCCTAACAGCCCGTGCACGTCAAACTTACTCTCAAAGTATGCGTATAAGATTGTGCATCCTCGATGCACTCGAAGAATGCCGCAGACACTAATTTTAATTGCCCGATGCAGGCGGAAGCAAATCATCGCCAGCAGGAATTTGATTTCGCTCGGTCGGCCCCGCTCGTACAACCCCCTACTAGGTGCTTGTATACGTATTCGCCTTTGCCTGTATACCTTAGCTGCGTGATGGGGTCCCGCGAGAGATGGAGAGGAGCTACGCTAACCGCATATTCTTCCTCTCGACTTTGGCCCATCGTGTCTTGTTATATAGGTTCTCGTTTATTACTTTGCCCTGCACTTCTAAATATATAGTATAATAATATCTATATATATGTTTTACGTGAACTGCAGGTACCTATAATAATGATGTCAACGATAAACGAGGAGGATCCTTAGATTTTACTGGAATCTTTTTTTTTTTTTTTTTTTTTTTTTTTTTTTTTTTTTTTTCAAGATTAAATAATCCAATTCTTGCGCACGTTGGACTCTGCAATAATATAATTACGTGGATGGGTTTGCTCAAATAAGAATATACATATGTATAAGCAAGAGGGCAGAAAAAAGCACGGGGCCGAGGGGGAAAAGAGTATGAAATGAGGAAAACAAAAGTAACCCTAGAGCTGCTCTCCCAATGAAATGACTAATTATTTATTATGTCTATAAAAGGGAGGACCTTTTTTTCGGGAGATCCCAACGTACGTGCAGAGGAATTATTAATTTCGCTCAACCCGTTACCAGATGAGCCCTTGAATCTCTTCTTTCCCCCCCCCCCCCAACCAAGATATCTCATCTTAAATCCATTTGTCTCCTCGGACGCTCTCTCGCATGACTAGCACCCTGATTTCTCGAATAATTTTCAAATATACATTTTAGCCTCTTGTGACGCGTCCACGTGCCAACACAACGTTCCATCAGCGAGACGCTTCATTGATCTACTGCCCGCACATATCTTCCTATATACATTTATTAGAGTGCAAAAAAATACATATACATTCCACCCCCCTTTTCTCACTGTTTGTCCACACATTTGTCCGCGATAGTGGGCATCCATATTTAACCAGTTCTCGGCTTTTTTTCGAAAGCCATTAATTATATAAGTCCCTCTAAAAGCTCCGTGGACTCGTCAAACTTTCGGGCGCTCCAGTAAATTTCGCTCGCTGCTATGTAAATCGCGCTTCGCCCGAATTATTCGGCAAACATGGCACGCGTCCATTTGAATCCCGTGCATATATAGAATAGCGCAGAGCTTTTATACACACACGCACTTTGCTCCTTACCGATTTTTAAACCCATATACCCATTGTTATTGTTTTCATGTACCGTCCACCGTGAAATTAAATCATTTGCTTTCCACCCCCCAGTCGTGTATATGTATAATACGTAGAAATGGATCGAAACAATAATTACCATTATTTGTATAATATGTAATATACATGTGCAAATGTACCACGTTTGTGGTCAGATTCGCTGGTTGCCGAGTACTCGATGCTCATTGTCTCGTTTCACCTGAAGAGGCACATGGGCAACTTCCTGATACAGGTGTACGGGCCCTGCGTCCTCCTCGTCGTCCTCTCCTGGGTGTCGTTTTGGCTCAACAGAGAGGCCACGGCCGATCGCGTGTCGCTCGGTAAGTCCACCGATACCGATCATCGCTTCCCTTGAAAAACTCTGATCACTACAACTACGTATTACGTACACGCGCATGTGCAGGTATAATGACGGTGCTGACGATGACGTTTCTGGGCCTGGAGGCGCGCACGGACCTGCCCAAGGTGCCCTACCCGACGGCCCTCGACTTCTTCGTCTTCCTCTCGTTTTGCTTCATCTTCGCGACCATCATTCAGTTCGCGGTCGTGCACTACTTCACAAAGTACGGCTCGGGCGAGTGCTACTTCGGCTCGGACCTCGACGACGACGACGCTGACCTGGACGACCACGAGCACCACGGTGTCCGCCACCATCATCACCACCAAGACTCGAGCGACGAGGACGATAACTCCGAGGTGGTCCTTGACTGCGGCCCTGCCTCCGAAGGCCCCATCGCGGCCACTTGCTCGTACCACCACCACCAACAGCAGCACCAACAGAGACACCACTACCACCAACAGCAGCAACAGCAGCGACGCCGGGTCTCGCGAGTGCGGAGGCAGAGGCGCAAGATGCCCAGGTACAACTCGGTCTCGAAGATCGACCGGGCGAGCCGGCTGGTCTTTCCGCTCTTCTTCCTCGCCATCAACCTCTTCTACTGGTTCGGCTACTTGTCGCGCAGCAAGAGAATCGACTACTTCAACTGAGCTCTCCGCCGCAAAACGATACACGTGTACTTGTTTGGTCGGGTCCGACGTGGTGCAGTGGGGCTCCGAGGACGATTTTGTACAACGAGCGTTGATACGTCGACGGGATCGAGAGGACGCAATTTTACCAGAGCAAAAGTTTGTGTTTTTGTGCAATTGCGATCAAGTCTACGAGGTATACACTGGCCAATTTTTAAAAGCATGTATGCGTTTTGGGGAGAGAGCTGTGCGTCAATTTGGAGCTTATAGGAGAAAGCGCATTTTTTTTTTTTGGCATATCAACGCGGGTCAAGATATAATACCTCTCGTACCCGTTGACAAAAATACATATACATGTAATCATTGTAAATAATCGAATCGTTGCATGGTTCTTATAATGAAATCACCTGAGTAAATGGCACGAAAATAAAGTAAGCCTGTAACATTATTACAACTAACAATTTTATTTATCCTTACGATGGTTATTTTTCGTCACCGTGTATAATTTATATTGTATCATTCATTTTCTTGACATTAAATATTATGTGTATATATATTCATCACCGAAGCTAGAAATGGGATATATGCGGATGGATATAAGCTTTTGACACGCTCGATGGTAAGTTTCAACAAAAAGCTTCCAAAAATAGTTCGTCTAGCGAGAGCTTTAATCTTTCTTGCTTCGTATAGTCCACGCAAAGGCAAATTCGTTTTGCGCAAGATGCGTTTGTTTTATGACTATAGGTAATATAATATTTACTTCCGCAAAGTAGTTGATAAAAAAAACTACATTTTCAGTTTTAAAACATCTTGGTAGGATAAAATTGGCAATATAACTTTTTTTTACTCAAAATCATGCATTTATATAATTAAATACACAGAAAATATTTTGAAAAAATTGACTAATTGATTATGTTTCGTTGTTTTCTTTCATCCATCCAATATTACGTCCATATTATTGATTTATTATTCTTCCTTCCTTGATGATTTCTCTTTACGACCGACCAAGTACATTTTAGAATTAACAATGAACTTGCACTGATTTTTCATTAACGACTGTACACACATTATATATATAGAGAATGAAGCTTAGTTGCTGCCGAGTTGTATATCTCATATTATATCTTATCTCAAATCGCTAGATTGCGAGTATAGACACAATGATTGTGCCTGTACTGTAATGTATTTGAGTGGCAATTAAACATCGAGTTACGTTAGTGCGGAGTATTTGTCATTCCTAAATAAAAAACAAAATGCGTGTGTACAATTGACGGTGCCAGAACGACAAAAGCGAAACAAAAACAACCAACGCACGCAACAAAGGAATCGACGCGTCCAATATACACGTCGGCTAACATGTAATACCCCAGAGCACGCGCCGAACGCGGGAGTCGCACGTGCTCTCACGTATTACTCGCGCGTGTGTCCATTATGTGATCGGAACTATACACACGATAGCACACCGAGCGCTCGCGAGTGCTAAAGTATAATTTTGGAACCGCTTCGCGCCGAGGCCACTGCAGTAAAAGTCAAGCTTTCGAGCCGATCTCGCTCGCTTCGTCCAATGAGAGAAAAAAAAAAAAAAAAAAAAAAAGTAGAAATGCATTAGCGCGTGTTACCAATCCCGTCGTTGTTCTTTCCGTTCGGCAATCGGTTGCACGGTTTAATAGCCGTTACGTCACGAGTAGCTGTTCCTTTCGTCTTCCGCGTGGAAAAATGTCTTTTGTTCCCCTTTTCCCGCATTTCACCGATAAGTCACACATTGGATTCCTTGAAGCATGCGACACACGCGCTTTTTCATCGCTTCCACCAAATATACTTGCAATGGTGCACTCATTTGTATATATTATATACCAAACAAAAAAAGCAACAGAGACCTGATAGGTACATAATACTGATGGCGATTTGAAATCATGCCTCGCAACGTTCCCTTTTAGATATAACTTATCGGCGATAAAAGCTGTTTGTATAATTGATATGTAGCAACATGTGACAATAGACCAAACGATCATGTATTCTCCTACATTTGTACGGATGAAAGTAAATACTGTTTAACCTTGACGATGAGGAAGAATCTTCACCGCGTCTGGGATCATGAGTAGGCTTTGAGGCAGTCGAGGACGTCCGACAACCGATCGGCGTAAAAGTTCGGCACTATGGAGTTTTTCGGGTCCTTTTGCAGCCTCTGCAAGTCCGCGTCGGTGGTGACGCCCGACATGACCAGCAGGGTCGTGTAGCCAAAGCGTTTGCCCAGCAAAATGTCCGTGTTGAGGCTGCGAATAACAAACATGAAGAAACAAAAGTTTCGAAGATGGAATGAAAAAAATGGCTTCAAACGTGCGTGTACTAACTTGTCGCCGATCATGAGAGTTCGGGCCGGGTCGACGTTGTACTTCTTCTTGATCAACTCGCCGACGAAGGGCCCTGGTTTGCCCAGGATCGTGGCCTGTCTGCCGGCGACCGCTTCGATGGCCCGCAAGAGGCACCCGGGACCTTTGGAAATCGGCGTATCGAAACAACGAGTGTGAATATATGCACGTGTTAATAATAATTTAAAAAATTACCTGGAAATCGGTTGCGGTTCGGCGACGGTCGCTCCACGTCGGGATGCGTGCCGATGAAGAGCACGTGGGGCTCGTGCAAGTACGTCGCGGCTTTCATAAGTTTCGGGTAGCTAAAGTGCTTGTCGAACCCGACGATCACGGCCCCGACTTCGGGGTCCGGCTTGAATCTCAGTAAAGTGTCCACTTCGTCGCCCTCCATCACGTCGGGCTGGAAATTTTCATACATAACGTTTTTTTTCTTCCCCCTCGAGTGGAAAAAGTTAAACATGTTCATGTGTTTTCGTTATATATACGTAAGTACCCCAACGCCGACGCTCTTAATGCCTTGGGCTTCCAGTTCCTTGACGATCGCCGGGCCCCCGACCACGTAAGCCTTTTGCGCGAAATTTTTCTGTTTCAAGTAAATTGCCGCCAAGTACGAGGAGCACAGCATGTCTTCCTGAAAAAAAAAAAAAAAAAAAGAAATTAATTTTTACGTAACTGCGTTCGTCGCATGCAACCGGAAATAATAATATACGCAATTTACTGTGCAGGTGCAGTATGAAAGTCTACAAGCACACAAAACTTGTAAATTACAACAAAAAAACAAAAAAAGAAAAAACGTGCAACCATACACATTTTATATAATCTATGTCGAAAATAATTTAGTTTAAAAAAGGTCACATACATGCCTCGTATGGTACATTTTTCATCAATCATTTGGCATTTGTTGCAAAAATGTGTACCTTCACGCGTCAGATGGTCGCGCGAAAAAAAAAAAAAAAAAAAAAGCAAAAACTCACCTCCGTAGCGTCGTAAGTGAGGCTCTTGCACTTGTTAATGAGATCGGCCCTAGTTTTGCAGTCGTTGTTGGTAATGTAGTAAAATTTTTTTCCCATTTCTTTGAGTTTCTCCACCGTCTCCGGCGAACGATGGACCACCTCCATTTCCCTCCACAGAACACCTGAAAATGTAATTAAAAATATATATATATGTATATATGTATAAAGAACGTGCATTCGTGTGCATATACGCATACGTGTACCACCGGTAAACAAACAAAATATAAAATCCTCATGGACGCACCGTCGCAATCCGAAAGCACGACATCGAACGAATTGAAAAAAGCCCTGAACTCGTCCTTGCCCATCGATTTGATTCTCCTGCAAGCTGCCATTGCTCCCACGCGCCCGCACTCGCACTGTATTTTACGATGATATACTTATGTATAGGTATTATTGTTATATTAACGCACTCTTTCGACTGTATACACAGGAGTGATGTGCACAGGGAGAGCTCCGTTGCTTGAATATCGCGACCGATTTCCCGACAAACTGCCGGCCAAAGTCGAGCTTTCAGCTCATACATACATATTATATACGTGTGCACACGTTATAAGTAAACCCCGGCAAGCGCGCTAAAAAAACACCGAGTGCGCGCGCGCCCCTCTTAATTATCGAAAATTGCTTACCATCATTTATATATGCAATATATACTGTGTATTATTCCCTTGTTCTGGTGTTGTACGAGACATTATTCATTGACACCGGCGTTGCTCTTGACCATGCGATCGGCGCGTGCTGTTGACCTGACGCACCACACGCTCTTTTTACACTTTACACAGCCTATAGCTTATACTACGAGTGGTGACGCACAAATCGGCTGTACACCTAATCATTGCGTGCTTTTTTTGTTATTTGCCAAACACAGCTATGGATACACCTATACTGCGGGCAGGCATATCCAGGATAATCCATACCGTGTGGACGTGAAACGTATATGGTTTTTTTACCGACTCACCGGAGACAAAAAAGTTTTTTACCACTTTTATTATTCTGTCAACTACGAGGTGTGCGATGTGTATACGATATCGCGGTGACAATGTCCATAGACAATAATCTGCGTGAATGGCCGTACTTTCCTGTTCGTTATTATTCTGCTATCTTGAATAAGACACAATGGTTACGAAATTGTTTAGAGTTGATTCGTTGTTTGTTACACCCATCAGGCGTACGAGAAGAAAATGTGTGTGTGTACACATGTTATTCTGCAAAAGCGCCAAAGTTTCTCTTTTTCTTCGTGTTTTGGCGTTTTCTTTTGTTTACAATAACATATGTGTACACACACGCGCACGTGTACTGGGATGTTTGTAAACGTGAACTGGGAATAAAATGTGCATTATGAAAGACATTGGGCAACCAGACTGACATTTGATCGATTTTTTTATTACCAACAACGGATTTTTTTTTGTTTTTCTATCCATGTGTATATTACATACATACAATTTTGTTACTATAACTTTCATTTGGTTTCTTTGGTTATATCATGGTAATGCAACTTTAGGAATTGAGATGTTTACTGTTTTTTGACTAGGAGGATTTGTATGGACCAATTTTACATGCAGTATTATTATTTTTAACACGTAAATACTATTATTTACAATTAGCTTTTTTCCATTTGCAACTGTGATATATACCAAAAGTTTTTTTTTTTTTTTTTTTTTTTTTTTTTTTTTCTCACGTTAATTCACTAGTTGTATATGAATTAGTTGCTTGGTTTGTACTCCTTCAGGTAAGGTAGTAAATCTCCTAAAGTTTTAATATAATAATTGGGAACTAAATCACGGTCCTCCTTTGCTGAGGACAGTTTCCATTTTTCAACTTCCTCGATCTTCGTAACGCCCGAGAGAACCAAGAGCGTTTTGAAGTGGCAACGCGTTCCTAACAGGATATCGGTGTTGGATCGGTCGCCGATCATCAGGGTGCGTTCCGGATTGACGTGGTAATTTTTTTTAATCATCTCGGCCACGTAAGGCTCTGGTTTTCCCATAATTAAGGCTTTTCTCTCGGCACAGGTCTCGATGCAACGTACCATGCTTCCCGTGCCTATAAAATTATATTTTACAAAAAAGCACTTGCATCCAGAGATGGATTTTATTATAAAAATAAATTACACACCAGGAACTATTACATTGTCAGATGTTGGAAATCTCTCGTCTGTATTTGTTGCAACGAAATAAACACTGGGATCGTTTAAATAAGAGGCAGCTTTGATCATCTTGGGATAACTAAAATGTTCGTCGTAGCCAACAATCACTGCTTTGACTTCTGGATCCTTTTCAAATCTAAAAGAGTCCAAGTCTTTTAAAACATCAGGTCCAGTGCCACAGTGAGTGATACCAACTTTCTCCAGCTCTCTTGTGATTCCTGAAATGCATTTTTTTGTTTAATATCATGGTTTATATTGATTCACAGTTTACCAGTCCAATTTGATTTATGCCTACCGGTTTTTCCAATGACATAAACTTTTCCTTTGTACCCCTCTTGTTTGAGATAGTTGGCAGCCAAATGAGAGGTGCACAAAATATCTTCTTCCGTTGCATTAAAATTCAAACATTCACATTTTTTAGCTAATTCTTCTCTAGTTTTTGTACTATTGTTTGTCACGTAAAATGTTTTTTTTCCACACTCTTTGAACAAATTCATCACTGCTGCAGAATCAGGTAAGGATTCATTATCCAACCACAGGACTCCTGAAAAATAAATGTAACTTTTTTCAACAAACATGAAAAAAAATTTTTTTTTCAATTACTATACATAAAAGAGTGCATACCATCACAGTCAGTTAATACTGTATCAAACGAATCAAGAAATTTGTTGATCTCATCAGAATTGAGGGACTTGAGATTTATTGCTGACATTTTGGAATGTCGGAATACTGTAACAAAATTTAAATGCAAAAAATTACCATACAAGTTCATTATATTGATGATTTTCTAAGTTATAGTATTACTTAATTGGTCTAAAAGAAGCTCAACTTTTTTTTTTAAACAGCAAAATAAGTAACCTTTGTCAATACTTGCTCTTAAACTTATCAATACAAACGTTAAAATTTTATCGATTCTATCTCACTTGCGTGTTCGACTATTTCATCAGTAAATAAAAAAGTCATTGATACAGCTAATAGATATTAACCTTAAGATAAAGGTTGTTGTAGCCTTTGACACTAAGTGATTTTACTATTATTACATATTACGATGCCGTGCGATTTTTTAACTATTAAATAAAAATGGACACACCTACACATTCGTATATTTTATAAGAATCGTACACGCAATATGTTGAAAAAAACAAATGAACACTTACCGTTTTTCGCTAAAAACTGCTGTCCGAAATTAAATGAACTGTGCAAAAAGCGATTCACAGTACAATACATATGGGTGAAGAAGAATCTTGGGGGAAAAACACACTTCACCGAACCATTGAAAATATATATATACGCTTTTCTAACAATTGACAATGGAAAGTTTCAACAGCCCCCCTGCGTCCATGTCCCTGAAAATGTGAAAATCGTTTGGCAAGTCAGTGCCGTCAGTGGTCAGCTAGGGTGGTCATGCGTATATTTTTGGCGCATGATCGAATAATAAGGGCCCGGTGAGATTACATGGAGTCTGGCAGTCTGAAGGGCTATTCTTTCATTAGTTAATGGTAAAAGATCAAGAGTATTGTAACTTTGTAAATATTGTCGATTTTATGAGCCATACAAGATAAGTATAATATTGATGGTTTTGTAGGTCGATTTTAAGGTAAAAGATAAATTGTCAACTAGCCGCAAGTAGCAGGAAAAATGTTAACTTTTTATTATCTATCTATAAAATTAGTTGCGGCTGATTTATAGTTAATTAAATGGCTCTAATATAAGAAGTAATAATTGTTTGGATCAGTGCCATCTAGCGGTCTCAATTTTTTGGCCAAAAGTGGCTCCCAAAATTCTGAATCAGAGCAATCAAGATTAGAGCCATTTAGTCAATTATAAACCAGCCGCAACTCATGATAAAGTTACAAAATGAAAAAATAATAATACGTGTGTTTTTGGCGGCAAGATAACAATTTATTTTTTACCAAAAAATTGACCTCCTATGTGTTTATACTTTTGAAGATACATTTTAGAGCATAAGATAGATTGTTAGCTTGCCGCCATACATATTGTTATTTTTTTATTTTATAGCTTTGTCATGAGTTGCGGCTGGTTTATAATTGACTAAATGGCTCTAATCCTGATTGCTCTGATTCAGAATTTTGGGAGCCACTTTTGGCCAAAAAATTGAGACCGCTAGATGGCGCTGATCCAAACAATTATTACTTCTTATATTAGAGCCATTTAACCAGTTATAACCCAGCCGCAACGAATCTTATAGATACTGTAGATAGATAATAAAAAGTTGACGTGGTTTGTGCTGTTTGCGGCAAGTTTACAATCTATTTTTCACCCAAAAGTCGACCTCCAAAAATATAGATATTCACATGGTTTAATAAAATCGACCATATGGCATTACTTAGTAGTAATTACTTTAATTACTACACATAACTTCACGTATATCTTTCACCGTGCTCTACCAGAATGATAAAATCAGAGGCTGTAAAGTTACGTAGGTCGTGGTGGTAACGCCGCTTGGTGCTTGCAGTAAACGCGTCAGTTGTTCAGAATAAATATTTTCTCCGTAGTAGTGCGTAAAAAATCAAGTTTTATTTATTAATTAAATCGGTACAATAAACATCAGCCAAGATGTCTTATATGCTGTCTCATCTTCACAATGGATGGCAGGTGGATCAAGCAATTTTATCCGAAGAAGATCGCGTTGTCGTAAGTTAACCTTAAATCTTTTAGTTATTAACGTTCATTCTGAAGAATCTTTTTTTTCTCTAATAAGTAATTATGCTTAATTTTTTAGGTCATTAGATTTGGTCACGATTGGGATCCCATGTGCATGAAAATGGATGAAGTATTATACAATATTGCGGAAAAAGTGAAAAACTTTGCTGTTATTTACTTGGTGGACATTACTGAAGTTCCCGACTTCAACAAAATGTAAAGCATCTCTTCGTACATGCTCGTTATTATTTATTTTCCATTATGAAAGTCGTACTTCATGATTATTATTGCTTTTAATTGCAGGTATGAGTTGTATGATCCCTGTACAGTTATGTTCTTCTTTAGAAACAAACACATTATGATTGATTTGGGTACTGGTAACAACAACAAAATCAACTGGACTCTCGAAGATAAACAAGAGATGATAGATATCATTGAAACGGTCTACAGGGGAGCCAGAAAGGGTAGAGGTTTGGTGGTTTCTCCTAAAGACTATTCAACAAAATATAGATATTAATTTACTACCTTCATGACGCTTCTTTAAACAATGAAAGTGGCTTTAAATTACGTTTTACAGTAAAACTAAAGTCTGATAAAGTCATTCGTTGCATGTTGTAGCTCCTTACATGAGTACAGCAACACATCGATGGTCTTCTTCCCGTGAAATATTTATATTCATGAGATTCAAACAAATATTATTCAATTGTAAATAGTAAAATGTTAAGATTGACCCAAGTCTCAGTCAATGGTGGTTGTCAAAGATCACATCAGTGGACCACACATACCTTGTCTTAATGTCTTTGACCAAGGTCTGATCCACACATATGTCAGAGGATACATCACCATTTAGAAAATTAATTGATAACTTTTATTTATTAATAGACATTTTAAAAAGTCAAACAAGTTTTAAGTATTTTAACTATTATTTATCTTTATGTGATGAACACGACGGAAGAATACTTATGTAGTATTGTGAGATTTGTCTAACAAAGTTTTTTTGAAATTAATAAATATCTTTGTTAGATTGACACACTTATTAATCTTTATTGTTATACGTTTACACAGATGAAGAACAGCATTCAATTTAATTGAGTATAAAATAGAATAAATTGGTCAATGATTCCAACTAGTTGTTTTTTCATTTATAATAAAAAAATATGACTATGTCATTGTATTTGTTAAGTAAGATATTCAAGGGAACATTTACTTTTATCTTCGATTTTCAATGACTGCAGTATCTTTCCTTTCAAGTAGTTTACTTAAACAATAAACTCGTCCTTATAACTTTCTGATGCAAATTTAGTTTTGCACAATCATACATCATTAAAACATTGCCCATCAACAAACTGTGATAGGACAACAAAAACCACTCAAATTTTTCATGGTGTGCTTGCAATATTAATTTTACAAAGCACAAATATATTTGGTTCAAAATTGTTTTCATCATATAAAAAGTCTTATTAATAAGAATAATATTTCTTCATACATGATAATTAAAATATACATTTATGAGCTCACAGCATTTATTTTAGTGATACTTAATTAAAATAAAAGTATGGTTTTTTTTGAAAATTTATAACATTACTATGTACAATGGTATGGCTATAGGCAAGTAGATGATCCAAAACACTTATAAAAAAAAAAAAAAAACAGTTTGTTGAGCTATTTACAAAAGCCTTTTTTGTAATGTAAATGTTATAAAAAAATAACGTTTTTCTTAAATGTTATAAAAAATCGGGGCTTAGGCACCGTTGGCACTTATGTGTTTTATATTCGTTCATAGCCATTAAAAGCTAAATATCAGTTCTTTTCTAGTTTTTATGTACAAGTTTTTTCGAATTAAAAAAAAAAGCATCTCCTTATGACACAGTTCATTACAAAATCCCCTTTCTCAGCTTTTAGATGGCACAATCGAATATCTTATAAAGAGGTGTCTTTCTCAGCAATATCTGAAAGAAATTTCATACAAAAAGTGAGCTTTTTACCTTAATTTAATTACTACAGACTATTAAAGGGTTGTTGTAAGCCTAAATTTAAAACAACGTATAAAAGTATACTACAGCACGAAAAAATTATTTTTTATCTATGAAAAAAAAACTTCCTGAAATTTGTTGATACAATTTCCATTTTCTTATTACTTGATGTCTTTTTAAAAATTTTCCTTGAAAAACTCGTTCAAAGAATAAAGTATACTTTACAAAATTGGAGTAGAAAAAAGTCATTCATTTTTTTATGAATGTTTTTCTGCGAATGAAAAATAAACTAGTATATAACGGCTCTTCATCCAACCCTTTTATTAATTATTTCGTATTGAGACCCATGATGGGCAAAGCAAATCGGTACTCACCGTTCATCAATGGAATATAACTAGCTCCAGCAATTGATTGACTAGAGCCTGTTCGTATCAATGGTTCAATATTTTCATAAACTGTACTAGATGAACTGTTTCCATCGTCTTCTGCACTGTCTTCTCTGTTTGTCGAAAAAGAATCTCTTGTTTCGCAAGCGATGTAGTTGTCGCTGTTGTATTTTTCTAAAACAAATGAAACAATTTTCAAACTTAGTCACGTAAAGTAGATTAGAATACTAAAAGTACATTTTTATGGAACTCTGGAAAGCAGCTTAACGTTAACGTTCATTTTTGACATTAATCGATCGACGTTCGTTGCATCTTCCCATTAAAATGTACCATTTTGTTCATGAATATTTAGACGTTACCTATTCGATTGTGATTCGATCGAGTATCGATTGCACTTGTAGATCTGCAATACCTTAGGCCTGCGAATAAAACTTTTTTAATGTATTAGCCAACTGTCGGAGAAACTATCGATAACTGAATAACACATGTGTTGCTCATAAATACCATTCATTTGGATTTTCGGGGTGGCTTGCGGAGATGACTGACACAAAGGCTGCGTAGAGTCCATTGAATTGGACAAACTATTTTTTTTAACTGAAATGACGAAAAACATCATCAATATTGCATACAAGAAGAGTTAAATGCATAACTACGAATTAAAGTATTTCAAGCAAGTTGCCTCGTCACATGTAGAAGCAAAGCTTGACGAACCCATCACCAATGCAAATATACATATATATGGGATCTTAAAAGCAAACGAGACAGTATATAGGGGTATGCATTTGAAGTCGAAGCACAAGCAAGAATGTATTATTTGTTTGATTCGTACCTCGATTGAAATTAAAAAGGTTTCACTCGCAATCCAGAAAATTAAGATTAAAATCGTAAGATTAATTTTACTGTTATACTCATGCTGTAGTTTGTTAGTATTTTAATTAGCTAATTTTTTGTTCGTAATCTAGGACTAGAAGAGTTGAGTCGACGATATGTTACATACGGGTGTCGAAACTTTCCACCAAATCGGTGCTAGAGTCACTTCTGTCGTTATTTTGTGGCTTGGCTTTAGCATATGTCGGATCCATGGGTGGCGGTTTATCTGATGAACAATACGAACAACAACGATATATACAAAAAAAAGGGCATTGAGAATAAAATTTTTCGACAACCAATGAGATGATGTACTCACATGTTTTCGAGAAGTAAGGATTTTTGAGAACTTGTCTGATACAATTGTAAATGTACGCATACTGGCTCTGAAACGAATATAGTATAATGCACACGCAACTGAAGCCACCGCGATGCAAGTAGTAAATTTTTATCTTACCTCTCGTTGTACCATGTTCAAACGATGTTTCCTCAATCGGTACACCGTACCGAACACATCTATTTTCCTGCAGTCTTTGAGGGATTGGAGCAATATGTCTATTGCAATTAACGTCCCGGTCCTCCCGATTCCAGCACTACGGACGAATGGAATCGTTGATCATTATTGTCATCAAACATTGTTTACAAATCGGACACGAACCTGCAGTGAATAACCGCGAGTCCTTTGACGCTGTTGAGTTGCTTGCGGAACATTTGGACGAAATGTAGCATGGCGTCAAAGTCGTCGGGAACATCGTGATCCGGCCAGTCTTTGAAGTGCCAATGCGTTATCGTTCGCTTGACTCCGGTCTACCCGAGGAGAGGATAAGATTAATGTAGACCAGTATAATTGGATTCCAGTGGTCAGGTGTGGCCACGCAATATTATCACTAAACTCACCATAAAGTTTTCCAACACCAGGGTACGCTGCGTGTAGTTCCTGTAATCCAGTTCGCTCGTGCACTTGATTGAAAATTTGTCGTAGGTGAAGGTCTCCCTGGCCATGGGAAAGTATTGATGGCACTTTTCCTGAAACGAAGAATCGTCGTTATACACGTGTTCAACCGTCGAATCGTGAACCACGAGCCGACGTAGGTGCAGTATATTACTTTGCCTCTCTCCACCAACTGCGTGAGCATCAGGATGATCTTGACGTCGTACTGGTCGATCATCCTCCAGAAATCGAGGGTTGTATCCTCCTTGGGACCCTGGCACGCTATGTACTCATCGTCCCCGGAGTACCCCTGCAATCAGAGAATTTTTCGTCATCACCTAAAGGGGTTCTGCTTCGAGACACATCACACAATTATGTTATCATAATCAAACACGAACCTTGATGTAAGAGGCGTTGATGTAATCCGAGCAAGGGTCGTTGTCGATGACTTCCAGCTTGACTCTCGAAAAATCATCTGCAACGTACGAATATATCTCTGCAAAATCCGAACTATGTGTTTACGAAAACATAGAAAAATGTACTTACACGGTAGAATGTCGGAGTATCGGTTCTTTTTCCTGTTCCCCTGGAGGCAGGCGTGGTTGCTCGGCATCTGCAAATCAACGCTGAGGGTCTGCAGTAGCTGGAACTCGTTGGCCAGCTTGGCCGGGTTCTCGGCGAGCTGCTGGCAGTGCTTCATGAATTTGCGGCGCGTCATCGGCGACGGCACCGGGGACTCGCTTATGGTCGCCTGCAGGATCCGCTGTACAAGCCTGAAAAGCCAATTCGGCATATCGCGTATAACAACAACAATCTCGTCTTTATAGCACGCGTTTTCTCTCTCGTCCCTATATTTTCTTCAAATCCGCGCCGTCGTGTGTGTGTGTGTGTCGTTCGCGTTCACAGAATTTCGATTCTTATGCGGTAACAATAAGGTGTATTGTTGCTCGGTGAAAAGATGCCCATGTAGTATTGTATATGATGTATCCGTTGCGTCGCAATTGGTTGGAAAATGTTTACTGTGACGTGTCTCGGGGCACAATCGTTTATGATGCAACACACCGCTAGTATCTACCGCTTCCAATGATTATCGGTGCTCTGAGGGCATGGCTCGCTCGTTTGCAGTGGATATTACTTTGTAATGGCAATATAACAAGCTAAATTTTTGATGATAACACGCGTACGCGCGCGTGACTCACTGTAGCTTTTTTTTAATCTATGGCCAAGAATGGATTTGCAATTTTCTCAAAACGAGTAATATGAGGCTCTCGTACGCGAAAATCATACATTCAAAGATATCGATTGTTCGTCAATGTACAGGTACTTATTCGCAATAAGTGGTGAGAGAATCGGCGTTTGTCGTTATCGCGCCCAACACCTTTGTCCGTAAAATTGTATGATTGGGCATGTGAGACGTTCATAAGAAACAAAAGGGCCCTTTTTGAAACTCAGATGGATCCATTCGCTTTTTTTCTACATGAAATACTGCGCCACGGATAATTTCATAAAAAAATATACATGTCTTTTTAAGGAGCAAAGAAGCAGCTTTTAAAACACTCGTTGGGTTCGCGTATGCAAATTATAAAAAAGGGCAACGCAACCCCCCCTCCGCGCACCTTATGTACCACCCGCGCACCGATTGTCATTATAAAGCACATATTATTATTTATTGAGCTCTCGCGAGAGTCGTGTATACTACACAATACACACGCGTAAGACGCGATAAATGTACGATCAGGGAGTTGGTTGATAATAGTCACCTTCGGTGCGCGCGTTTCAAAATATCCATGTTCTCTCAAAATAGAACTCGGCTCCTTGTTCGTTCGATAAGAAAAGAATAATAATATCATTCAATATATAAACGCACGGTTGGTATACTTAAGTATGAATTAAAAAATATCCACACTGGTGTTATATTTTATACTACCTACGCAAACGGCGACCGCAATTGCATAGTGAAACGAGCAACGATTCACCGTTGACTGACAGAGCCCACCTCGGTCGTACCATCATCGCCATGGATATATATCCTTACAATGTATAAATGGATAATATAGGTAATACCTATTACGCACACGCTTTAAAAAAAAAAAAAAAAAGACACGACGACCCAGAACAACCGCGAGTTTGAGACGCACTAATGTATATATACAATGTACACACAGCTGATGATGTATATTGTATATTATGATGTAGTACAGAGCTGCTAGACGCTCAAACTCAAACGTATATATACGTAAGACACACTAGACCGATATTTCTCGGTGAGCGCGTATAAATATGTACGCGCGCACACTCGATACCTACAGCGTTATGACTCATCGCGCAGATTAAATATTGATGGTTTCGGCTCCGTTCGCAATCCCTCCCTCCCACATCATGTGAGTATAAATGGATGCAGTAACTTGGTACTTACAGTCTGACCGAGCAGCGCTTGATCATCAGCACCAGGGCCGTTGTGGTGCCGATGAATAGGATGCCGAATATCACCCCCAAGACCAGGCCCACGTTGAGTTCGGCGTCTGAAAGATGCATACGTAATTTATATTATTACTGGTAACAGTTAGTGAAAAAAAAAAAAAAAAAAAAAAAAAACCAGATAAAGATGTGAGATTGAGACGCGATTTATGCCGATTTCCGAGTGAGTCACGGTGATGTGTTGTATTATTACTATGTCACCCGTCCTCCGTTTCGATAAATCACTCGCGGTAGGCAGCGCGTCGCGTAAACAATATATGTATACTTGATGAAAAATAGAGAGAGAGAAAACACCGCCGTAGGTCTCTTACTTGTTTTGATAGCGAAGGAAGCCGAATCGGCGTATCCCCTCGCCGTGAAGGCCCGCATCCGCACTTCGTACCACGAGTCCGGATTCAACGGCCCGTTGCAGTACACCCGATCCTTGGTGTTTGCCGATACCTGGGGGCACATCAGATCGTCGCCTATCTCGAACTTGATGGCCTTCATGTCCCCGTAGTCGGCGATACTTTCGGCTTATGCAACAGTGGTGCGTGGTGTTATGTATACAAAAACACTTTTTTTTTTTTTTTTTTTCATACTATTTGTAAAATTGGGGACTCACGGGATGGCTTCCAAAAGGAGACCGTGGCCTGGTAGGGGATCCTAAAGTTGTTCTCCTTGGACTCCTCCCAGGAGCGGACGTCGGGCCAGGACTTTTTGCGCTCGTCGATCTCGAACCTCGCCGACTCGTTCTTGAAGGACGCGGCCGCCACCATGACCGCGTAGTGCTTTATCTCGCCAAAGTCCTGGGGGAACACGGGCAGCAGGACGAAGGCTTTGCTCGTCGACCGCGGCGACTTTTGCGGGTTCAGCGTTATCGACCTTATGTACTCCTCTTTCGGCTGAGGCGGAACTGAGTAACACACGGCAAACAAACAAACAAAACGTTACCGTGACTTTTCTTTTCTTTTCTTTTTTTTTTTTTTTAATTTTGTTTGTGTGTTTCTCACTTCCAGGTGGATAAACGATCGTGGTGTTTGCGGTTTCCCCGGAATCGACGGTGCCGTACAGAGTCGCCGAGACGAGGAAGACGTACGTGTAGAGCGGCTTCAGTTCGCCAAAGTGAAACTCAAAGACCTGGTCCTTCTCGTACTTGTCAGGTAAATAGAGAACGTCCTCAAACAAGTCGACCGGAAGGCCCTCCCTCGTCCCATTGTAGCCGACGTCGAACGAGTAGAGCCATCCCTTGGCGATGCACGGCAACTTCCAATACAACACCGTGTCCAAAGTGTTCGAATCATTGGGCATGGGCATGATCTCGACGTGCAGACTCGTCACCTGATCCGGCACTTAAAAAAAAAGGACAGTATGCGTTACATGTGTCTATCCATCCAGCTCACCTGAATTTCGAACAATCGCCCAATTACCTCCCCGTTGCATTATGTAGTCCTTGACGACGACCTCGTCGCTCCAACCGGCGTTGGTGCCCGCGGAGATGGCCGCCTCAAAGTCAGAGTCCGAAAAGTCGTCCTCGATGATCAAGCTGTACTCGGTGAGGGCGCCGTCGATGTTGTTGACGATCCTCTCCCGGTCGACGTCGCAGTCGTCGGGCACGGTGTAGTTGGGCTGCCAGCGGAACTTGATCCTATAGCCCAGGAACTTGCCGGGCCGGTAGTTGGGCTCGTCCCATTTGAAGGTCCATTTGGATATCTCCTTGTTGCTCGGGTGAAAGTTGCCCGGGACCGAGGGCACGTCCTCGGCCGTGACGGAGGTGTAATTGACGCTCCACGGACTGGCCGCCTGGTCGTAGGGCAGGTCGCGGACGATCGCCCGGGCTCGGCAGAGGTATTGGGTGTACGGGCTGAGCTCGTCAATGGTCACAGGCACGCTTGCCGGGTTGTCCTGGCTTTGCAGGCCGACCGTTCGGTTGTTCCACTTGAGCTTGTACCCGCTGCCCAGCGAGACGTTGTACCGGCACTCGCTCTCGAGCGACTTGAGCGGACACTTGTTTTTCGCGCTCGCCACGATCCAGAGCAGGCCTATCGAGTCCTTGGTCACTTTCGGCACGTGCGTCTCGTTCAGCCGGGGAGCTTCGGTGGCTGTGGAAAACAAAAGCGCGGGAAAATTAGTCCTCGCGTCCGAGGAGATCGAGAAAGAAGAGCCTCTTGTATTTACCATCGGGTGAGGTGACGATCGTTTCGTTTTTGACAAACGCGCCGGGCTCCCCGTTCAGGGCGAACGTGAACACCGTCACCTCGTAAGTCCTGCAGGCAAAGACGTCCTCGAACGTGCAGATCGTCTCGGTAGTGTTGAGCTCCCTCAAGTCGCGCACCTCGTGGATGTTGTCGATCCTCACCTTGTAGTAGGCGACGCACTTGCTCGCCACCAGTGGCGGGCTCCAGGTGACTTGCAGTGCCGAGCTCGAGTTCACGGTCTTCACCGAGGCAACTTTTAGGTCTCGCGGCTCGTTCGGTCCTGTACAAACAATTATTGATCGTTAGCATTTTCGAGCTCATCCAACGTGGTAAAATAGGGGGGGAGGGGTAAAAATATCAATGAACACTCACTCTCGTGCGAGGTCTTGCCCGTGGCCGATTTGGCGCTCTTGCCGAGGCTCACCTCCACCCTGTACTCCGTGCACGGCTCCAGATCTTTGATGTACAAGTACGTGTTGTCCGTGCTAAAGTTGGCCTTGAGATCTTCGCTCTCGTACAAGTTTACGACAAACTTGTTGCTGCTGGTGGTGGTGTTGTTCTCGTCGGACGAGGATACGGTCCAGGTGACGTTCAAGGCAGTCGATTGAGTCTGAGTTATCGTGACAGTTTCGATGATCGTTGGCGCGACCGTGGGCGCAGGTCCCACATTTTGGTAGATCATGTTGTTCACCGCGTCAAAGTTGTCCTCGTCGATGTTGGCGTATTCCTCGCCAGCGACTTCGGTGTCGTGCCTCGGGACCACGGGCTCATCCTCAAAGTTCGTCGGTATCTGGAGATCGAATAATCCGTCGTCCGTCTCCTCCCGCGAAGTAACTCGCTCCTGGATGTGGTGGTAGGCCGGGGGAAAGTCGGTGGTGTATTCCGGACTGTCGATGAGGTTTTTGTCGTCGGCCAGATGCTGGAGGTGGTGGTGATGGCGGTGGTGGGCCTCGCTGCCGGGATCGCCGTCGCCGAACACGTAAAAGATCTGCAGCACGTGGAGGAGCACCTGCAGCCTCTTCCTCGGGATCATTTTGGCGTCATGTGGTCAATCGGTAATCTACGATGACAACGATGCTGGTGCTGCGAAAAAATGCGTGGGAGATATTTTCTTTTCTTTCCTTTTGTAACCGTCAAGTGCAAGTAACGCGTTAACTGTGTCAGCCGATTAATCTCGCGCGCCAGAGTGGATAAAGAAGAAGAAGAAGAAGAAAATAGTACACTGTTTTTCAAAGCGACTCGCGATTATGGACTTGAAGCGGATTTCCCGGGATTTGTGTGTTGATAAATCTCGGAAACCGATACAGGGCCCTCCACCACCTCCCCCGACAATCACATACGTGCGTACACATATATGTACGCGAGAGAGAGTGAATGAACGCTGTTTGCTCGGTGACAATAAAATAATAATGTACCGTCGCCGTTGAGCGAGATATACTTATCTGCCGCACTGTACGCTCGCGCGGAGTGAAGAAGAAACGAGAGAAGGAAAAAAAAAAAAAAAAAAAAAAAAAAAAAAAAAANCGCCATTGTATCATATCATTATGGCCTTTTAATATTTATTGTATCCTATAATATGTAATATTGTACTGGAATAAAAAAAAAAAAAAATGAGATTTTTAAATACAAGTTGATGTTTCATTGAATTTAAATACTTTATTGAGCACTGCAAACAATTGGGGTAAGTTTTTACAATATTAGAAAAAAAAAAAAAAAAAAACATTGAATTTTAACAAACGTACAAATATGTATGTCCAGGCTGGACGGAGGAGCACTCCGAGATGTAGTCGCGATGACAAAAAACGAAGTAAGTAAGACACGCGCGCGACACTTGAGCATATAGGAGTAAAAAGAGCAAAGGCCGACCTCGGCGGGTAATTATACATGTACATACCGCGTGTAGCGAATCGATCTCCGATAGTATGCAAGATTATGCGGTCCCCCCCTCCTGATATCGTCCATCCGAAAGACGTACGCACACGCGCGATCGATCGGCGCTCTGTATCGTCCGTATATCGGTAGTGAAAAAAAAAAAAAAAAAAAAAAAAAAAAAAAAAAAGCACATGCATCGGCCGTCAGCGCGCATATTTTTGTGTTTATTGGGTGTATGTGGCAATGTATGTCATACATACGACACGTTTACAAAGGCGAGAAATCGACTGCTCGTTTGATCGGTTTGTTAAATAAACCGCTAGTATATGTATACGAGTTCGTTTGGTAAAAACAAAAGAGTCATCGCTTACCCTACACGTGCTTGTATATCTACGAACTTTCTGTTTCGAGCAACATAACTTAGTACAAAAAAAGAGACAGCCCATACCGATCAACAAGTATACAACGGAGTGAAAAAAAAAAAAAAAAAAAGAAAGAAAAAAAAATCGTATGCCGTTGTTTCGATGTTTGGTACATGAAATGTCATTACTACTTACGGAGATCAGCGATTTCGTTCTCATCATATCGTAGAACGAATTCTCCGGCTACGGATACATTCCGACTCCACGCACACGAGGGTTCAATCGTTCAATCACAGCGACTCTGCCACACGCTTGTATATATATACACTTTGTCGCTCATCAAGCGCGATTTGCATTATTTACTTCATCGGAAAAACATTTCGTAAGAGGGGGGGGGGGTAAAGGCAAACGAACGTAAAGTACAAGCTTATACATATATATATGAGCGATATGTTGTTCCAGCAAATCGGAGATAGATAATCGGACACCCACGCGGGCACGGTCACTCGCGAATCTATATTACCGCGTACCGCCCATCACATATAGAGTCCAGCGCACGCTGATGGGTCCGTCTGCCCGGTAGCTGGCATATGTACGCGGTTCACTGGAGAACGACTTCCTGCCCCCTCGGGCTCTATTTTTTCTCCTTCCCTTTCTCTCTTGGTCTTTTTTTTTTTTTTTTTTTTTTACTACTAAGTACTCTGTGTATACGTACGCGTGTGTATAATACATGTACATCGTAGACGGGGCAACGGCGATAATCGTTGATAACAGAGTAGCGATGCTTGCCTACTGCCCTTGTTGCATGTGTGCCTGTATTTTTTATATATGTTCGCGTACACTATAATATCTACAATACCATATATTATACACTCTTACATATGCGTGCAATGACTTGAGTACACAAAAAAAGGTTGACTCGCTCGCCGGAGTAACGCACTTTATTAGTTAAACATGTCACACAAACGACGCGCTGACATACAAAACAATAGGCTGCACTCATGTGCCATATATAAATGTACTGTAAGTGCATTGTGAAATATATATATAACCAGAGGGAGAAAAGGAATAATTAAGAATAATCATCGGTTGCCGTAGTATATTATAATGGCTCTCATCCTCATCGATGAGGCGGCTCTCGCCGTGCCATGTACAACATACACACCGTGACCCCCGGTCGCCTTAGCCTATATGCACTGGCGCATACACACGCGTATACGTTCGCGCGCTAGCTCCGAAATTTCTTTTTTTTTTTTTTTCTTTTTTCTTTTTTCCTTCACTCCACTCGAGATGATAACAAAAGTATATATATTGTGTAATGATCGGCGTAGGCATAATATACGTGTATGTACGTGGGTGTGTATTCGACGTGTAAAATGTGTTTGTGCACGGGAAAGGAGGATTCGTGTAATAAATATGCGTGTAAAATTAATCGTTACCTTTGGCGACGAGATCGTGTGTATTTATTATTGGTGGGTATGGCGCATCTTGGAGACTCGACGAAGGGCCGTTGTGCTTTTTGCCAATTGAGTAGGTATATAGTATATTATGTCTCGGAGAGCAACCCCCGAAAAACCAGGCACTATTTTAGGTATACGCACACTGTACTTGGTACCCTGCACTTTGGTCGACGGACGGCGAACCCCCACAAAGAGCAACGATACTTTTATGATAGTACACACACATCGGGGACACGTATATAGTATAGTTACATCGGGCGGTGCAGAACGCGCACGTCGAGAGAGAAAGAAAGGAGGCGTGCGGTGGACTGATGCAGAGAGTGCGCGTGATGGAGCAGCGGAGAGTTGTATAAAAAGAGAGGAATCCAAAAGAACATCACATGTTCAAGTGTGCATTGTGTATACACAAGCGCGCGTTTCCTCTCTCTCCTCCTTGGGTGTAAGTATATGTGGGTAATGGGGTGTATATATATATACGTGTGGACACAGATGGCATCCCCATGGATACGGGAGGCTGATGGCCATGACGCGGCGGCTCCTATTCCCTTATTTTCTCCCCCTCATCCTCCTCCTCCTCCTCCTCCTACTGTAAACTGTACACCATATCTACACGCTGCTTCTTCTCCTCCGCCATCCGAGAGCTTTCGGCCTCTGATGCATGCCTCCGCTCTTTTTCCCTGCTTTCTTCTGTTGAGAAGAAAAAAAAGTGGGGGAGGAAGGAAACCGAGACAGATTGAAATACCCGCAAACATCGTGCGTTTTTTCCACCCCAGGACACTCGACCTGCCCCCCTTTTTTTTCTTTTTCTTTTTTTTTTTTTTTTTTAATTTTCTTGCACATACCGATACTTGCTTACATACACACTTTTCGGCTGAAAATCTATTACTTTTTACACAATAGTTATCCCTTATTTGTGCCCTCGTTGCTGAGTACGAATATAATTAATTAGCCATACAAATGATTAGTAACAAATAATACATACATATTTACCATGATCGGTATATTATGTTATTGGACGCGAAACTGAATTTTAAAATTTGCAATAATTTAAATTGTGTTACGGATGTACATGTTTATTGATAACGCGGTTTTGTAATCAACACACAAGTACATATATACAATTGTACTCAAGAGATCGGTAACACACAGCAGGGGGTGAAGTATTAATTATATAGAATTATAAAGAGTAGCTTTTATACTCATTTGCCGGTGTTGAGGGTAGTTAGCGTCGTAAAACATACTTACAGTTCTGAGAGTTTTTTTTTTTTNAAATCAATTGAGCATCCGCCGAGGAAATAAATATATATGGCACTTTATTTATCACATTCGTTCTCACTAATCTTTTAGTATTATTTATTTTTTTTGTTCAATACCCATACATTTTACCCGTGCAACGAAGTACTGAATAAAAAAAAAAAATCGAGCTTGGTAGTATTTTTTTACTCGAAGATTTCTTAATTTTTTTTTAAGCAGTCATAAAAAATACAGGACCATAATGTATCGATAGTCTAATAATCGTGTATGTCAAGATGATATATGACAACAGATGGTTATATTGTATCACGTGTATGTATACACATGTATTATACCGATTTTCGAGGTAATCGTCATCTACTGGGAGGAAAGTGTTTCCACGAGCCCACCAATGTTTATTGGTCCCATAAGCGTGGAAATAATGAAAAATCGGTATGGTAATTTATTGGGGTGCTTCCGTCAATTTTAGTTCATTTGACTCATTATATAGTATTATTTCCTGCAACGCGGAAATCCATCACAGATATAAATTTATTTATTTATTTCTTTTTGTTTTGTTTTCGAATATCCTCTAAGCATACCCTTTGCCTTGGTATACAAATAAGTAATCCTACACCCGTTGTCCCTTGATACCAATAACAGCATTTATAGAGTAGAGGTCTTGATTGGACCCACGAGAGTGTTTCGGGTGGAGCTAAGCATAAATGTATGAATATGCGTGAGAGTATATAACGTATATGTATAAAGGCAGAAAGGATGTTCTGTTTATATGTAGGTATGTATAGTGATACTCTGCAAATCATATTCTGACATGCCTCACTTTTCTCTCGGGTTGTGTGCTGTATAATACATGTAACAATTAAAATAACTATCTTCACCGCTCTTGGTCCGAAAGTCATAAATTAACAAGTGCAGTATGTAAAGGATATATGTATACTACCACTGGTCCGAGTAAAAGGTGCGTAATAACATAATCGTAATAATTAAGATAAGTGTGCATGTATAGTTAATTTAGTACGGCAAAATATATTAGTATTATAATGCTCATGTGTAAGTACATTTGTATATTTATACAGAAGAGAATGTTTTTTCATACTTTAAATGTCACGTTCTTAGTAAGAATTTGCCACACTCCGAGAGGGCTTATTTACATACGGTTATTTGGCAATAGATTTTTGTTAACATTTACGATTAGTTGTACAGATGCGTTAATAATAACATAATCAAGACTCAATCTGAGTAAAATGTGTCGTTTATACTTGTCGTCGTTTTAATTAATTTTTTTATTAAAAATTACACACAAAATTACAGAGCGCATATGTTTTATTCTTATTACAAAGTGGGTTGGATTAATCACAATTGCCGATTATAAATATAAATACACATGTACTTTTAACACATGGTATACGATAAAACGTGTGTGTATGGGTCATTTCACGAAAACTGCAATGTTCCAGGAAGCTTATGCGTTTAAAAACGAAGGATTGAATTATTTCGAGTCTTTTTTCAGACACTTGAAATTTATCGTATTGTATTTTTTTCAGATCTATTTGTAGTGTCGTCGCAAAATACAGAGTTTTTTCCGGTAGAATAAGCGGTCTATAACACCCCTAATCTGGAGCTGCAGGTGTTGTATAAACGTAATTTCGTTAAAAAATTTCGACTTGTGTCTTAACAAACGCAAAAAAGTACCGTGAACGGTAGTGATAGGTGTGCCATTACCGTATATGTAACGCCGTTCTAAAATTTATAAAAATTGCATTTAAATTAACACACATGGTTTTAAAAAAATGATCGTGGAGTCGGGCCCAAAAATTTTCAACTTGTTTGGACCTCACGTTAATTGGAAATAACCCATTTATGCCTTTACGTTAATACTAAAAACAATTTTGATTCAAATTGGTAAATAAGTATACACATGTATTTTTTACCTACATATAGACATATTTAACCGGCCAATTAGAATTTCCTACGAAGAAACGAGATTTTAAAAAATTTTAATGATAATTTAATTTCAAACTTTCATTGACCTGCTTGTCGGACAAAGACGAGGATGATATAACTACTCGGAAAATCAATTGAGCATCCGCCGAGGAAATAAATATATATGGCACTTTATTTATCACATTCGTTCTCACTAATCTTTTAGTATTATTTATGACCTTTTGTTTCACGAAAACGACAATTTTAATCAAGTTATGGCTTCTTCAGCTTCGTGAGACACACAGTTCTCTAGAAACGATGAATAAACGGAACAACCTTGTTATAAATAATAGTTACTCGTACATACATGTTTGACTTATGGCTTTTTTTCATAACGTTAAATTGTTTGTCAATTCAACAAAGATAACAGCGTATACATCATTGATGTCAGTGTTGCATTGCGAAAATTACTTACGTGCTCCATTCGAGGCCGAGAGGTCCTTGTAACTTTCGATCACGTGCGAGAATGCGTGTTCGGAATAAAGAATCTGAGCGCTCGGTGCGATACGAGCTGGACAAAAAATTTCTTATCTAAGAACTCGACGTTTTAAATAATGCAATTCGTGCATGGAAATTGTTCACAATGAAATCTTCACGTTTCCAACTGTATTATTGCACCATGTAATTTTACAATAAATTAACGTTTGTAAATTTTTATTAGTCAAGGTGATTAGTAACAGGTGCGTCTATACAATCATACAGGTAGGTGGTGAGCGATTAGGCCAATACGCTGTCGTAGTAACTCGGGGAGAGGAAGGGGATTCGACTTGACCAGGAAATTCAAGTACCAAAGAATTATCAAGATTTTTTTTTTTATTCCTCTTAGATTTTAGTATGTACATGTAAAAATTGTTTAATACAGCCTCTGAGCAGATCCCATGGTTGACTTAACGTGAAGAGAACGCACGTTTTGCCAATGTTTTTTAAGGAGAGACACGAGGAAGTTCACTGATAGATGGATGTTGTGCACCAACTCATCAGGAGTCATTTCTACGTGTCCAACAGCAACAGAAAGACACAAGACCTGAAAACAAAAAGTTTTTTTTAATAATATTTGAGCATTTATAAATTACATTTGTCAGCGAACACGATGTTTACCTTCTTCATCTGGAACTTGATGGTCGCCTTGACTTCATCAATTTTGGCAGTCATAGATTCCTGATGAGACAGAAGACCAGGGAATTTACCAGCTTTGTTTAAGCCGGGACCCAAGAGACGTGGGATTTGTTTGATCAACGACTCGCTGGCAAGAAAAGCATCGTATTTCTTAGCTGCAATAAAAAAATGGTGTTTTCAAAATTGTCTACTAGATAAGGGGTATTAAAAAAAAAATTATTTAATTTTGTCTCTGCATGGATTGAGGTACAACATGATAACGGCACATCGTCCACACCTAATGAAGAATTTTATTTCCTTCCATAGACGACCTTTGCTACTAAATTGCATAACACAGGTGCTTTAAGGAAGGGGAATATGTATATTCCTATTCATAACTTAAGAATAGATAAACATCACATCGACATACCTAGTTTCTTGACAAGTTTTTTGTTCTTGTTCAACTTCTTCAAGGCTTCAGCATCCATGAATGGAACATTATTAGCTTTGGCTTCATCGCAATGCTGTTGATCACCAAGGATGCATACTTGCATCTTGGGGCGAGGAATGTGCTTCAGTCTGTAAAATACACGTTGCTCATTATTACATTCAATCTTTCACTTGCGCATAACTAGAATAATTAAATAATTATAATAAAAAAGCTCTCAGTATAATAAAATCTCATCAATTATGATCAGGTAATACATGCAAAGTATGTACCATCATAGAGCCGTTGAAATAGAAAAAAAAGGTAGGATTTTAACATACATGTGAAGCCAAAATATTTTCAAATGTTTATCGGAGCGATACTAAGTCAACTTACCAGCACAAAATGTGCTTGTACTTGAGGACCTGTATGAATGTAAAAAAAGTGTTCGGTACAATACCTCCCCAATATTTAAGACCCTGGGTGAGGGTCCGCCAAGCAAAAGCTCAGCTCCCTGACATGCAAAGCAGCTCTTTAAGGGCTATACCTTATAGGTTAAATGTGTAGTTAACACGTGTTTCGTACAAAAACCAAAAAGAGCACTTTGAAGCAGGTAAAACTCACTTCACAGTGCCAGAGAAACGTTTGTCCTTCTGTGGGTCGTAGTTTTTCAAACCGATTTGAATCTCGACTGTTTCGACGAAGTTCCTCTTCTTTTCTTTGGAGTTTTCGAGTACTGCATTAACAGCATCGTAAAACATCTCACGAGAAATTTTCGAACTGAAAAATAACGAGGTAAATTTAACGTAGTAATTTGATGCTCCAGAAAACTATACACATCATTTAAACAACCGGTTAATTATCACATATTGATGCGTTACACTATGAAAAAGAAAATTACTGTAGAAATTTGCGAAAACAAATAAGTAAATGAAAGATAAAAAATATTACTGATTTCAAGATAACAAAATCTCTGCGAATACATTTCAAAAATAACCAAGATTTTCACAATTAAGATTATAATGATAAATATGGATTAGTTGTAAATACTCACGTCATGGTTGCAGAGTTACCGAAGCGTCTGCTTTCGACGACGACTGAAAAGGAAAAGACCTCCTTCGCTGGCGAAAGCAGACGGTAAAGTGCAGACACTCACGGGGCTCGACTGCTCCTCGAGGCGGCTCGAGCGGCTCGACTTTTTCGGAAGACGAGGACGCATATACGACTCTATCGGTATGGAGATTTCAAACATTAAACATTTTTGAAATTGAATCAGCAAAAGTGAAATGCGAGAAAAGATTGAAGAAACAGAAGTAAAACATATCATTAAAATGACTTAGAATTTATACGCAAGATATGTTTATTTTCATCTTGAGGTTTAAATCGTTTTAAATAAGCTCTATTGTTTTTTTTCAAGACAGCAAATAATGTAGCGATTTTTTTCGTGATTTTTTTTTTTTTAACTTTAACTAAACAATACAGTAACATCACATTTTTTTTATGCAATACGCATTTTTAACAAAAATTAAATATCCTTAACATAATCTCATTTGTTATAATATTTAACAAAAAATAGTACGTTCAATTTTTGTAAGTTCACATAATATAAAGGATTTAGATTTAGTTTACATTTCTAAACCTCCCGAATGCCGGTAAAGAAGGACATTGAATTACCAGTTGTTGACAACAGTTGGTACAACAGGGGGTTTACTTTTTTACAAAATTCCGCTAGATGGCGCTGAAAAATGCTTTCTTATGAGTCGATACGCCGAATGTTAATATTTTCGCTTTTTTCGGTAGAGTAGAGTAAATCGAAAATGTAATGCATATTTCTATATAGGTATAGATTGTTGTATATATTTTGTACACGCATGTATGCATGTTTGAGCTGGGCACAAACAGTCCGCGCGTTCGTAGACTCCGAAAAGACTACTAGACTTAGTATTTTGCAAATAATTAATTCTCACGAGATCAACTGGTTAAAAGTAAGCTCCTCAAGTTCTCCAAGTAGCGAGTGACACAAAACCGGAAGAAAAATGTCGATAGGGGTGCCAATCAAGGTGTTGCACGAAGCCGAGGGCCACATCATAACCTGCGAGACGAATACCGGTGAGGTCTACCGGGGCAAGCTCATCGAGGCCGAGGACAACATGAACTGTCAGATGCAAAATATTACCGTCACCTATAGGGATGGCCGAGTCGCCCAGCTTGAAAATGTTTACATTCGTGGCTCAAAAATCAGGTTTCTCATACTGCCTGACATGTTGAAAAATGCACCAATGTTCAAGAGGCCTGGTGGAAAGGGCTCTGGTACTGCTGGCAGAGGAAAGTCTGCAATTCTTAGAGCACAAGGTATTGCTGGTTTTGTCAATTATTTGTTACTCATGATTACACTTGATAAGCTCTAATAAATCGTATGTTTTGTGCAGCCAGAGGCAGAGGTAGAGGGACAAATCAGCGAGGTAGAGGTACTGGCTCAGCTCCGTGGCTTAATCAGCAGAATCAAACGTCAAATGCACCACAGACTGGCAGGGGAAGGGGCTAAACTTTACAAAATTTTTCATCGTTTGATAATCAAACAAGCAAAAATAACTGATCACTCGAGTGATTTTTATATTGTATTCATTTTTTAAACTCCACAATCACTTAATTCCCTTAATTATTTAATTGTGTATGAGTGAGTCTTGTGCAGGTAATATTAAATAATAAAAACAGTAATTTTATATGATAAAACTATGTTGTTGATTTATATCTGTAAAAGTAATCCAATGAGTTTTTTATTTAACTATCATGAAAGTCAGGAATTCGTCAATTTTTTTATTCCATCATATTCTCAAAATTTTACTTGTCATTGTTTAAAATAGATTTGATGAATTAGCAGTCAAATTAGATACATGAGCTGTATATATTTTATTGACATGTTGTAACCAGTTTTTGTTGCTTAGTTTTATATTTTTTACCCCAGCTTACCATTCTCTATGTGTCACGTATACCTAATTTACCATTATTAAATAACTTTTACTTACATCATCTTATTATTGTTTAAACCGTTCATGAACAAAGTAATAAATTACGAATCCTATATTATGATAATAAGTATATGAAGCGGCGGTTTGGTAGCGGCTGTGATGGATAAATATATATATATATATATATATATATATATATATATATATATATATATATATATATNGCACTGTATGTATTTGGAGTGTGTTCCAGTGACGCTGCCCAACAACTTACCGACAACTTTATTGTGTCTTGCGTTGCTTGTATGCCATTCAGAAGAGGCAAGATTGTAGCCTGAATTCCCCTAGCACCGTCCCCACTATAAATGCACTATTAGCACTTGGGAGAAGGAAGGGATGAGGGGATGGGAGGCCTCCCATTATTGGGAGGGGGGTAGGGGGAATTAGGCAATTTATGCTGCGAGGAGGTCGCCTAAACCCTCCTCGAGGAGCATTGCGTGGTGAATAAGCACATGTGAGAATCACAGAGGTACTTTGCCCGAAAAAGTCGCACTGGCCGGGAATCGAACCACGGTCTCCCGCGTCCCAATCCACGACCTAGCCGACTGAGCCACCGCGCGCTCTTTTATATTGTATATATATATTATATTCTGAGCATTCGCAGGTTGCGCAAAAAATCGTGATCAAAATATCGAATGCGCTAAAAGCGTCGGTTCTTCAGGATGAGATGAATTAAGTATTGATTTTATCAACTCAACAAGTCCACGAATCATACTCAATGGAACTTCCATATAGGTACTATTGATTAGTTGACGCATATACCCCTCAGGTTTTGCAATGGTAGACTGCAATTTGTTTTACGTACCCCCATTACATAAATTATAACAAAACAGGATTCTCGCAAAAGTTTGGTACATCAAACAATGAAGAAATTCATGAAAATAGCAAAATCTTTACCCCAAACTCAAAATCAAACATGTACAACATCATCCATTATAATTGTAACAGTATGGGTGTAGCGCGATTTTAGAAAAATATGCCCCATCCAGCTCCGGTTCGGCTTGGCAACATTAATCGATACACGAGTTCCCGAAAACGCCCTTGGACAATTTCCAGGGAAACCCCAGAACCCGGGGGAACCAATCCCAAAAAATGCTCCCTTATTTTACCGAACAAAATCCAAAAAGATCGGCAAAAAAAAGTAACAACATAGACGGGAATCCGATGCAACAAAGCGTCAATTTTTTCGATCCTGCGTCTGCGCACCGGAGTACGGCCCTTCCTCCTCTTCACTAGAGTCCTCGCCCATGCTCGGGTGAAGTGCTTCGATCTACACCCACACACGGGACACCGAGGAGCAAGCAAAGCGTACGTACAGGGCCGGTGCACCTTCACCAAGAAGAGGAGCTTGATACTACACCGGTGGCTGGACTTTGGTTTAAAAAAGGCGCAAAATTTCAGGTCGAGGCGGGCACGAGACGCATGCGCTTGCCAATGAACGGTCGTCGGACTCGTCGGTCGGTCGTGGAGACGTCGAGGCAGAGGAACGTCGTGCGCCACTCGTGTTGCTCGCATCTAGCTCTAGTGCACGTATACTCGCCACCCTGCAATAGTACAATAAGACGTAAGTCGTGGACACGACATACAACATACGTCTTGGCTGTTTCGGGCGAGAGCCGTACGTGTGCTAAGGAATCGGGCGTCAAAGAGGGAGACGGCGGTCCGACGAAGACGACGACCGGTGGTTGATAGGCAGATATATTTACATAGCACGGCATCGACAACCCCCCGTCCAGTCAACGTCGTCTACCTCGCGACTTTACCAGGAACTTCTGGGCTAAGCGGTGAGTATAGCAACCATCCGTGAGGAGAGAGATGTCGCGTTATCATATCACGAACGCCGGCCTAGCAGCAGCAGCATAGGTAGCGCGTTGGACGTGGGGCACGCGTCCGGATACAATACATAGGAGCCTCTTCTATAGGTACTGACTCCTCACACCCCCGCCCCCCCCACCCACGTATGTCGATGCTCACCCTACTGTCCATATAGATATAGAGTTGCTCTCTTTCTGGTCTAGTCTTGATGGGTAAGGGTAAGGGGGGCTTGGGAGGTACGGAGATGGTGTGTTCCGCGTCTGTGTGTTGTGCTCACGGTGTAGGCGTAGGTGCGTTTGCCCGCCAGCAAAGAAATAAAAAACGTTGAGTTGGATTGTCCATACATTTTACATGTATTTTTACATTACCTCAAAGTATAAAGTTGTTCTTGAGTGTGTGTGCCAGACACCCCCCATTATTAACCCATGAAGGTCCTTATACAAATACCTGTACAATACTCAACTCTGTAATTCTGCAGTGCATTCTCTCATGGGTTGGATTATACGTGCTTGTGCATGCCGATGTTTGGTTAAGAAGTTCCTGAGCTAGTTCAATAACGCTAGACAATCCCTGGGTGTTGGTATTACGATCTTGGCCGCAAGGGCGTTTTGGGGCGTCGTCCTCTTTGTGATTTAAGGTAAAGATTTCGTTTTTTTCTTCTTTCCCGTCCTTCAATTTTCTCGAGCGCTTTTTTTTCTTTTTTTTGGCTTTTTTGTTTTTTTTGCCGCGCTTCGTTGTCGCCGCGCGCGCGCAACTTTTATAGGTGCCCTACAAGCATCGACGGTCTTTTTTTCTTTTCTTCTATTTTATAGCTACTTACCGTCTATTGTTTATTTAGAGACATTTGTCAATTTGTCAATGACAGAACTTTCAGCAAAAATATGTTATGAATGTCTTATGCCGATTCGCGGTTATTCAAGATACCTATCTCTGAAAAAATGTGGGCTAACAATTACATGGGCACATCAACGCCAACTGCAAGACCAGAGGAATTATTTATTAAGCTTTACTTTTTTTTCAGCAAGCTCAGCCCTACCTATACCCTACATTTGCTGCTAGGAAAACGCGATCTCCCTCACGGCTGGTTACTCTTTCTTTCTGGCGTTCTTTCCTTTTCTGTAATTCCTTGCTACATTTAGTACGTATAGACTTTTTTTTGTTAAACTTTAAAGTTATGGTCCAATGGCTCATTTTTATGATTTTCTTGTAGGTATGTCAAGTGTTTTGTAAAGATGCTAAGAGCATCAGTTTCATTGGAATCGACTTGTATGATTAGCTGTCAAAGTCAAAGTAGTCGTATCACAGATTTGTCAAACAATAGCTGAACGAGGTAAGGCATTTGTTACTTGTATTACATTATGAGTTTTTCAGAAATTTTTTTGAGCCTAACGTTATTTTTCAAGTTATTCAAACTAAGAGTTTGGGTCAAAGTCGTGGGTCCTATTGTTAGTCAATCATGGAATCAAAAAACAGGTAACAAAAGTTCCTATTCTCATTACTAAATTACCATCTTCAAGTAATTGACATTTCTATACAAATTTTGATAATTACAAGGTGCATCTATGAGAAATCAAGATATTTATTGCATTGAAAAAAAAAAAAAAAATTTATGCATATACTTAGAAAAATATTGTTGGAGCTACCGTAATTAGTTGTATAATAAGCATGGTTTTTAATATTTTGTCAGTACATTTTATCGAAATTTGACAACGAAAATTTTTTGGTTATTTTTTATTTTTTATCAATTATATTGCATTTTCATGCATATTGTCTCTCGCTTTTTGAATGATTGGATACAGTTTTTGTTTTTAATTTGTTGTAAACGCTAGTATGAAGTCTAATGTTGGTTTATTGAAAAAATAACACACATTGTATTGAAACAACAAAAGAAATCTGGTGTGTTCGACTTCTTGAACATGTGAAAAACTAGTTATCAAGACAATCTATAGAATAAAAAGACTTGAGCCCTGAATTTTTTCCACGTCAAGATCAACGCTTATCTAAGACATATGTCAAGATGTTGGAAAGTTACGGAAATAAGAATGTGCCGTGTCTTTCAAGAGCGATTAGAAAATATGCATGATCTTCTAAAGACAGTGATGCTTGTTGTAAACAAAGAGTATCGTGGGCATTGATGTATTGTTTCAGAAGGACTAAAAGAAAAGACAGCAGTGACAGTGACTCTGATGATAGTAGTTCTGAAGATGCCAGCCCAGTTTCAAACAAAATGAAAAAAATTTCATACGTTAAACGTGAAGTAGCAAAGAAAATGAATAGGACTAAGAAAGTGTTGAGTAAATTATGTGATAGTGAAGATGACAGTGATCCAAAACAGCGTTTACTGTTGAAGAGGCCTATATCAACTTTGTCTGTTATCAGAAAAAAGACGCCACAGAAAAAGGATCCGTCCTCTGATGATTCTAGTTTTGATTCTGAAGACTCGTTAAAAAAGCATTCCAAAAAAAATGTAAAGACTAAAAAAATAATTAACATTAAATCTAAAAATCAAAGTACGAGTGCATCAGAGTCAGATGCAAAAGAAGAAACGATCATCAATAAAAAAAAAAGTAAAGTCAAGCTAACAAAAAATAAGTCTATTATTTATCATACAAAGATTGGAATTGATTGTGGAACAGACAAAAATGAGTTCCAGAAACCTAAAAAATTGAAAAATAAATCTAGTTGTGTGGAAAATAATGTGTACGATGATTATACAATTCTAGAAACTCCAACCAAGTCAGATGACGAAGCTATACCTGTTGACAAAAAATTTGAAATCACTCTGAAGCATCACATCATACAGGAATTTGATAAAATTCAAAAAATAACTGAAGAACTGAAAGAAACTTTAGAGTACAATTCTGAATATGTAGTTAGTAAACAAGTTAATGTAGTCGGTGACTCGAAATTTTTAGCTCATAAAATATTAAGAATTTACGATAGCACTTACAAAAAATTAAAAGAAAGTAAAAATGACTTTTTCAAAAAATATACGGAATGGGTAAATACTTGCAGTAAGAACAAATCATCAAAAGATGGTTCATACTTAAAATCTTCATCTGAAGTGTCGTTTAAAAATCGTTTTAAAATTTCTTCCGATGATTCAAGTGATTCAATAGATACTCCAAAAAAAAAATCGGCACATACAGAAAAAATTGATGTCGGCAAAAATAAGAGTCTTTCTAAAAAATCCAAAGATACTTCTGAGTCTGACAGTTCAGAGAAAGAGGTAAGTAATGGAAATGACTTGAATAAAACGAAAAAACACGACAAATCGGTATTTAAAGAAAAATCTACCGAAAATGAAACATCGAATAAAAATTGTGAAAAGAAAAAATCTTCTGAAAATAAAGGCTGTGAAAGCGATGAATCCTCTAAATCTCAAATTTCTGTAAATGTTGAACAACTATCATTAGAGAATAATGGAATGAATGTGTCAGAAGATAGTGATGAAAGTAATGAAAAAAGAATGCATGCAGATTCAGAAAATAAAGATAATTATAGAGCTGATAAAAGGCAGGAGCTTTTTAGAAAGAGTAAAACTGGCAGTAGCTCGGCAAATGAAAAAATAGATAACAACCAAGAATCTTCCGAGAAGAGTATAGAAATTAGTAGCTCAGAAGATAGAGAAATAGATAAAAGCCACGAATCTTCCGAAAAGAGTAAGGAAATTAGTAGCTCGGAAGATGAAGACATAAACGAAAGGCAAGAATCTTCCAAGAAAAGTAAGGCAGTTAGTAGCTCGGAAGATAAAGAAGTAATCAAAAAAACAAAGCCTCGAAACGCTAAGACAGTTTACAACTTGGAAGATGAAGAAGCGGATGAAAGTGTCAAGCATTACGAAAACAATGAAGCAATTAGTTCTTCGGAAGACGATGTAGAAATGAATGTTGTCGAACATTTTTTTGATGCATCGAAGGAAAAAACTGATAATAAATATATCAATAAAAAAGATAAAACAAATTTATCTAGCGAATCAGTAATTTCAAAGAATAAAAAAATTGCAAAAACTTTCTTCACGGATTCGGAACAGAGTAGATCGGGAAAAGAGAACAGTGCGCCTGTTTCTGATGAAGAAAATGAGACGAGCCTAGAAATACCAAATGAAGCGGTAAGCAAAAAAACGAAGTCAATAGAGGTAGAAGACATCCACAGAGGCGACTCGGACGATAAAATTTCTGAAAGTGACAGTGACGAAATATTTTCCGGCGATGAGTTGCGGTCCAAAAAAACTGATCGAAAAAATTTATTACAGAATGTCCGAGTAAAAGAGGCGTTAAAGAAAATTGATGAAACCAACGCAAATTCCGAGGAAATGTTTGACAGCACTGCTTCTGAAATACCGAACACACCAATCAAGTCTCCTATCTTGTGTGATAAAAAAAAATCACTTCGTAAGACTCTCCACGCAACACAGCAAACCATCCTATTGGATTTAGAAAATGAAATGAAATCATCTAGTAATGATGATGGGCATGGAACTACCAAAGAAACAGAAGATTCGAACGAGAACCACGAGGGAGAAGAGATAGAAGTTGAAGTACAACTAGAAAAGGAAAATGAAATGGAAGACAACAATGAAGTTGAAGAAGAAACTCAAGCTCAAGATAAACAAAAAGGGTCAAACGCTCACAATACGGGGGATGAAATCGATATAGAAATTCGAAAAAAAAACCTACAAGATTCGAAATCTGATACGTCCTCTGATTCTGAAATCAGCGATCACGAGTCAATAGTGGAAGACAACTCTGATGATGATGTAGTTTTGATTGATGGCGCGAGTGATAGTGTAGTGAAAAAGAACAAGAAAGTCAAAAAATTTAAGAAAAAATCGAATAAACTAACAATAAAGACTAAAACACGCTCTAATATTTCTCCCGATAGCTCGTCGTCGGAAGATCACCTGCAATCGCGTATTAAGCGACGCATTGTGAAGAAGCGAGCATTATCCCATGACAGCAGTGACAAGGAAGTCAGCGTGCAACCATTGGTGAAACGCCACTGTCAGCGAAGCAGTTTCATTGTCCAGAATAATCGACACTTCAAAGCCGACAAAAAGCTACGTTTGCTGTGTAGGGTTGTCCTTAAACGATTGCCCAAAAAAGTCCTTAAAAAGTACGCGAGGGCCTTGGCAGATTCCAAAGCTTATCTAGCTAATAAAGAGTTTTACAGGTATCAAGACTAAAATCCTACGAATTCCGTTAAAAAAAAAAAAAAAAAAAAAAAAAGAAAAGAAAGAAGTGTCCATTCGTCATCTGTCAAGTGGTCAGCAGCGAAAGCGAAAAAGAGCAGATGACAAGAAACAGAGACCGAGCGAAAGCGACTCCCAAGAGCGCGTGTGTATATAAATATACACGTACGCGANTTTTAATTTACATCACGCTATGTATTTAAGTATTTTTTCTATTACACATTTTTTTCTTACTTTACCTAGATGGGAACAATATACTATCACAAACCACAATAATTAAGTGTGTTAAAACAATGATGAGTCATTGATTACCAGCACTCTAAATATAATCGCAAAGAAAAAAATTACATGTCCTATAACATTGTATTTCATTATTCAGTCAAATTATAAATAAAGTAATGAAATGAAAAACTCACTTTTCATCTGTTATTTCATTTAACGTAATTTTGAAAACCCTTTTCAGTCTTACCAATTTAGACAGCTTAGAGGCCAAGAGAAAATCCAAAAAACGTGTAAACAACGAAGCATCGAAGGATGAAAACGACAAGAGTACAAAAGCAAAAAGAAAAACTAAACAAGAGGAAAATCTCAGTGACGATCAAGTAGAGGAGGAGGAGGAGGAGGAAAGCGAGGTCGATTCCGATTCTGACGTATCAAACAAAGTTAGTGACCATGAGCTTTGTATTTTTAATGTTGAGCAGGACTTAATGGGAGATGCTGAAATTTTCGAAAACGAAACTAAGGAAGCTCTACTCAATAGTTCCTGTTCCAATAGTGGTGAGTTGTTGTTAAAAAACCTTAAACTAATTATGAGGTGAAAGTGTTTGCTAAGCACGATTTTTATTTATCCAATGCAAATTTAAAATTAAGATCAAATACAATCAACAATACTTTTTTAGAAAACGAACAATTGACGGAAGAAGTTGATAGCGACAATGAAACACCACAAAAATCAAAAACCAAAACAACTAAAGCAAACAACAAAGAAACTGATGCCATGGATGTATCAAATAAAAACACTGATGACAACGAAGATGAAAATGATGATGAAAGTGACGACGATAAGGAAGAGGCAGATGAACAAGATGAAAATAAAAGAGGTGAATGGAAAAAAGATTCTTTGTTTAGCTTTAATGTAACCGACATGGAATCGGAAAAAGAAAAGAAATCCCAGGAAAGAACAAAAGTGAAGAAAGAAAACGAGAAGGATAACAAAAGGTTCGTTACGGTTGTAAAGTGTGCATGAATGTAGTATAAAACGAAACTAAAAAATTTATTATATCTGTTTAGCAATAAAGACAAAATTGAAACAATTGATGAATCGCCCATCAAGGAGAAAGTCAGTAAGAGAGGTAGAAAACAACGTAAAACTAGAAGGATTCTAGATTCTGAATCAGATGGGAATAATGACTCTAGTGAAGAGGAACAGGATGAAGAGATTAAGGACGTGTCGGATGAAGACTTTGAACTCGAAGCTGAAAAAAAAAAAGATGGAAAGAAGGGAAAAAAACGGCGTCCTAAATCTTCTGACTCTGAAACCTCGTCGAGTGAAAAAAAGTTAGCTTTTATCATCCTGATTTTCCCAAAACTCAATATTAACTGTAGATGTTCAAAACTTATATGATTCTGATTTTACCAGGTCAAAATCGAAAAGGAAACGCATAAAGAAGGTTGCAAGTGACGACAGCGACTCTGACAAGGACTCGCCTGGCAAGGGTAGAAAGAATATTCGTAAAGTGTTGAGAGACAAACACGTCGCTGATGATACTAAAAAAGCTGCTCAAGAGGAAGAGGAGCGTTTAAAACGTATTGCAGATCGTCAAAAGTTGGTTCGTACAGTTTAACATTTCTCTTACATAAATAACATTTGATAACAATAATAAAATTGTCTTTTTTTCCACAGTTTAATGAAATGTATGACGCTAAACTAGCTGGTGAAGCCAAAGTCGACAAGCTGGTGCTAGATTTTGATGAAGAAACAAAAAAAGAACTTGTCGTCGTTGATGCTGAACTGGTAAAACGTCTAAAACCTCATCAAGCTAAGGGTATAAAATTTATGTGGGATGCTTGTTTCGAGTCCCTGAAACAAATCGAAAAGTCAGAGGGTTCAGGGTGTATTATTGCTCATTGTATGGGTCTTGGTAAAACGTTTCAAGTCGTCACTTTAGTGCACACTCTTCTCGCTCACGAAGATACTGACGTTAGAACTGTGATGATTGTATGTCCTTTGAGTACAGTATTAAATTGGGTCAATGAGTTCAAAATGTGGTTAAAACATACAAAGAATGGCGATGATATCGAAATTTTCGAATTGACGAAGTAAGTACACTTTTTAGAAAAAACACTATCTCTTGTTTATTTTGCAATTTTCCATCACATTGTGCTATTTTTAGAATGAAGAAAAACGGTGACAGAAAAGGCATGCTGGAGAATTGGCAAAAAACCGGGGGTGTTTTGATTATTGGTTATGAAATGTTTCGTAATTTAACCAGTACCGGTAGAAAAATGCGAAAAGCCATGCAAGAGTCGGTTACGAGGTCGCTGGTAGATCCTGGCGCTGACCTTGTAGTTTGCGATGAAGGGCACTTACTTAAAAACGAAGATTCTGCTCTCAGCAAAGCCATGAAACTCGTCAAAACAATGAGAAGAATCGTATTGACAGGAACGCCTCTTCAAAATAATTTGAAAGAATGTAAGACTCGTACTTGCAAAAAAAAATTTATAATTTATACGTAATCATAATTTTTTGCATTCTATTGCAGATCACTGTATGGTTCAGTTCGTAAAACCTAATTTACTTGGTACCAAGAAAGAATTTTTGAATAGGTTTGTGAATCCGATTACAAATGGACAGTTTGACGATTCAACGGCGTATGATGTAAAAATAATGAAAAAACGGGCCCATGTTTTACACAAAATGTTAGAGGGTAGCGTTCAAAGATTCGATTATTCTGTTTTGACGCCCTTCTTACCACCAAAACAGGAGTATGTTATATTCGTCCGGCTAACAGAAGTGCAAATTAAGATGTATCAACATTACTTAGACAACTTCGCCAGGTATTATCTCAAACAATCCTGTGGCTTATTTTTAATGTTGTAAGAAATTCTTCTTAACGTTCGAGAATTATTTATAGACGATACAGTGGGCGAAATGGCTCGTTGTTTGCTGATTTTCAAGAACTACAACGCATTTGGACGCACCCTTTTGTTTTACGTTTGAATGCTGAAAAAATTGACAAAAAAAACGAGAAGAAACGCTTGGAAGCTAGTGATTCTGAAGGTTCCTTGAAAGACTTTATCGATGATGATAGCGATTCGGAAGCCAGTAATGTAAGCAGCAGTGGTGGTAGTAGCAGTAGTAGCGATGTACAATGCATAGATTCTGATACCGAGAAACGGCCCGTCAAAATGACAAGAGCTGCTCGGATGAATTTAAAAGGTACGCACATTTTTAATATTTTTTCGCTTCTCCAATACCATATTGGTTAAAAAAAATTTCTTATTGTACTTGTAGAAGTATTACAAGATGAAGTTCCTATAGTTCAGGCTACAACTGAAGAAACAGCTTGGTGGTCCAAATTTGTAGAAGAGAAACATTTTGAAGATATGCGTATTTCTGCGAAACTTATGCTTTTGTTTGGCATTTTAAAAGAAAGCGAACAAATCGGTGATAAAGTGTAAGTCATCATTTTTTTTTATTTACTTGATTTAAATGGTATTTGAATAATCAGAGGCGTCATTTTTACTTTCAGGCTTGTATTTTCGCAGTCGTTGTATTCATTGTCGCTCATAGAAAGTTTCTTAAGGTTCATTGACGACGAAACGCAAAATAATGGCGAGAAAGCCGAGTTCTTGGACAATCATAGTGGCAAATGGCTGCTAAATCAGGATTATTTCAGGCTCGATGGTTCTACTTCAGCTGAGAATCGTAGTGCTTGGTGTAAAATATTTAACAGCCAGAAAAATACACGTGCCAGATTGTTCTTGATATCGACAAGAGCAGGTGGGTTAGGTATTAATTTGACAGCTGCCAACAGGGTTATTATTTTTGATGCCAGTTGGAACCCGTCTCATGATGTACAAAGTATATTTAGAGTATACCGGTATGTAACAAAGCATGTGTTAAATATACTGCTCTTATTAGTTTTTTTTTTTTTTTTTTTTTTTTTATTCCAATATTCGATTTTGACTCTTATTAAGTTAAAAATATTATAAAATAATGATTAATATTTTCGTTCAGATTTGGACAAAAAAAGCCCTGTTATATTTATCGCTTTCTTGCTGCTGGTACAATGGAAGAAAAAATTTATAATCGTCAAGTAACGAAATTATCGTTGGCTTGCCGAGTAGTCGACGAACAACAAATAGAACGCCATTACAGTAACAATGACTTGGCTGAATTGTACCAGTTTGAAACCTACGAAGATAAACATCCTACGCTAGCTTTACCCAAAGACCGAATGTTAGCTGAAATCTTTTTGAAGTACAAGGATTTCGTTTATAATTATCACGAGCATGATTCGTTGCTTGAAAATAAGGTAAAATTTTGCTATGGCTTGGAAAACAATTTAATTACGTTCAAACTCTTGATTTGTACTTTTTTCTTTTTTTCAGGAAGAAGAAGAGTTGGATGAGGAAGAACGAAAGCAGGCTTGGGCTGAGTACGAGGAAGAAAAGCAAGGAAAACGACAAATGTATAATATAGGCATGAACAATACGATGGGTGGTATCAACCAACTTTTCATGAATATGAACAACTCTCCTGAATTCGAAGGAATGAAAATGCTAATTCAAAAAGACGTCAGTATCAGTTTCAATTGTTATGTATCAATCGTCAAAGAAATGCATGATAAAACTTTAAATTGTTTTCGTAGTATCCGCACATGCCAGCCGAACATCTAGAATCAGTTGCTAGACAAGCTATGTTTGAAATGTACCGATTCGTCGATCAACAAGGAATTAATCCAGGTTTAGCTCCGTTTGCTCCAGGACATTTACAAGGAAACGTGTTTGGAGCTCCTCACATAGTAAGTCTTACTTAAAAGCAATAGAAATGAATGTGTATGAAATTGAAAAATTCTTGTTTTCTTCAAATAGCCTCAGATGACGCATCAACAGCACACAATCAATCAGCAAAATCAACTGATGAACCTATTAGCTCCAGCACCACAAATGAATTATCAAGGCGTCAATCACATGCCAGCGTACTCTGGAAGAGGGCGACCGCCCAAACATTTGTCAAATCCTGTATACAATCCGTTGAGACAAATGCAAATGCCTATGCAAATGCCCATGCAAATGCCAATGCAAATGCCAATGCCTATGCAGATGCAACATTCACAAATGCTAGATCAACAAAATGCAGATGATTTAGAGGTAGTTAATCTTACCAAATATGTACGCTGACTTTTAATTGACAAACTTTTTGATGCTCGAACTCTTTACTTATGCCATATCTTTCTATCCTGATTGATCATTTAACTTGAGTAGTTCATTAGGACATATATAATGGTAAACTGCATGTACATCGATCGTAATAAACATTTATAATGTTGCAGGTACTTATGGAAAAAGGACTCCCACTTAATAACGATATCACTTCCAACACTAATAACAAACCAGAAGAATAAGTGTAAAGTGATTTTATTTAGTACTAATCTTTTTATTCCTATTAAAATTTAATATTGTCATTTTTGTAAATAGTTATTAAATTATATAAGTAGAGGTAGTAAAAAAACTTGTGTTTTAATAAAGGAAAAATCAGTTAGTGCAAAAAGCAAGATGTGACTTAGTTCATAGGTAGCTTACAAATATAAAATTATATCGCTGGTTAACATGTTTCCTAAAAAAAAAAAAAAAATAATTAAAAATTAGTTAACTTCATCTCATGAGCGAATTGAAAAAATGCAGTACACAATAAAATTTTTATAAAAAAAAAATAATAAATAAAATGCAATACCTTTTCTTATTGCATTTCGTATTTATTTTCGATGTACATAAAAAGAGGCATTTTTTATCTTGTCATGGGAAAAGTCGACTTTTTTAAAACTTACATCTGTATTATCGATCAATTAGAGGTAAAATTAACCGAAAACGCTAAAAGAAAAAAAATTAAAATAATAAGTCAAGACCCGGTTATGCGGAAAACGAAGTTCAGTTTTTCTTAACCGCTTTGTAGTTAGATATTTTTTATGTTTTCTAGAATCCAACATGTATGTATATATATGTACTTTATACTTTGATGGAAAAAAAGGAATTATAACGTTTAATAAAAATGTTATGTTGAAAAATCAATTTCGCAAAAACTATATCTCAACTTTCGTGAAAAGTAAAGATAAACAAATAATGAACTACATTTCTTCGTATTCATTCTCGTAACTGTAATTTATTTATTTATGAATTTAAAAATATAATACCCTTTTTGTAAAATAAAATTCTTAAAGTATCTTAATTTGTTCTTTTAAATTTTTACACAAGTACAATCCAATTTTTTAGATCACATTTTTATTTTGTGTATCATCCAAAAATTGATGGTGTATTCTCACATTTTCACTGTCTCTCGTATTAGCACGAATCATATGAGGGGTGAAATAAATCATCTGATTTGTGAAAACAGTGTGGGCAGCAGATGGTGCGGAAATGAAGCTAAATACATAATTTTTTTTTTTTTTTACATACATTATAGTGCAGTACGTCGTCCTTCTTTTTGTGACATACGACATTTAGAAATTTGGGCAGAAATAAAATGCAGCTCGCATTGCGCAATTTTTGTGCTAATCAGCTAACGGCTATAAAAGACTAATAGCTGAGGCCTGTAAGTGCGGTCAAAAATATCTAAACCAGCCGCCACTGACCACTCTCATCATGATTGCCAAACTTTATGACTCGTGGAGGTGGAGATCCGAAATATATTAGTCATGATTCGTTCTGGCGAAGAGATTTATTGATATTTTAGTCGTCTCCCATGTGATCAATTTTATAAACCAGCCACAACTCAGACCAACGTACGGAAAAATAAACGGTTGTACTCACAAATGACATCTAAGTACCATTAGATTTAAATTTATCTTCTACTTTAAAATCGACCATGGATCAATTAAAAAAAAAAAAAAAAAAAAAAAAAATTTTGAGTAGAAGATAAATTCTCATCTTGCCGCAAATGGCATTAGATACGGGAAATTTTTATTTTCTATCCATTAGGTAGTCTATGTTTCGGCTGATGTATAAACTCTACTACATGAAACTACTTTATTACCACATCACTCTTCACCAGAATGAAATATGACAATAACATTTCGAATCGTCTGTTTATGAGTGGCAGCTTGCGGCAGTCTAAAGTACTCTAAACATATGACTCTAAAGCCTTTAGTACATATATATATATATATATGACTCTAAAGCCTTTAGT